TTTCTTATATTTGTGCATCCCTAATTACTTTTCTGTAGTTTAGAAAATTAACTTGTAACAATTATACCTCAATTTTCAAGTTAACCTGGATGCAAATCATTAAAAAAAAATCATAAATTATATAAAATTGAATAATAAAGCACACACAAAGTGTCACAAAGAAACTTCTAATACTTCAGCTTTTGATTTATGTCTTACTCTTCTGTCAGTTTAATAAATGAACTCTATATCTTTGGTACCTTCGTCACACACAGAAACACATCTGTCAGCTATGTACCGGTACTCATATGTTGCAACCGGGATGGTAGGAAATGTATTTTTCTAAGTTTTTCACAGGATGCCTATTGGTCCTGTGAGAAACAATAAAAACCCAGACATTATCATCAATCAATAAAAATTCCTTTGGACCAAACTTGAAAATTGGACGTCATCACGGTAGCCCTTATTCATCAACAACTCATTGGCGGAAGTGAGAATGTGGCACAATGCAAATAATCATCTATTTGGAATATGGTGGCTAAAACGTAAAATACAATTTAAGTTTTGCGGCAGATAATTTGCGTTGAGGAATTTTAATAGTCATAGTATTGTAATCATTTGAGGAATTACTACAGCCATACAAATTGTACCACCCAATTTTTTTTATTTTTTATAAATAAAGTGGTACAGGTAAATCCAATCCTTTTTACGTGTTGAGACATGATTTCATGATATCCTTGTTCATCTGGAAGAGCAGACTGGAGGAAGCTGAGATAGTTCATGGTTTGCAGCTAGATGCTGCAGTTCAGTCTGTTGTTGAAAGCATCATCTGTATCTGTATTTTGACAAACTAGGAACAGTTGTCTGAGCAAGTAGCATTGGTTCACACAATAGACTGTTATGACAAGGCTCAGCGTTCAGATAGACAGGAAGTGGCTGATTCAGAAACCTCAGACCAAAGACTCACACATTCACACACTCCAAATGACCAGTGGTCAGTGGTCAGGCATCATATGATGTGAAGAACACAGTCACAGGATACAAACACTGTTGCATGATTTCAGCTTTCACTTCCTCATTAACTTGAGGCAGAGCATTTCCGAGTCCACTCATCTCTGCTTTAGATAAAGGAACAGCAGTGTTCTGAACACACACACAGCAGCTTTAAGGACTTGATTTTACACTTTGCTCCTCATAGCTGAACTAATAATAATCCCATTAGAGGACTTTGCATTTGGGACTCATTCAGCAGTGAGTATTGGAGGATTTCTGGATCAGCTTCTTCTGACTCATCACTGAGATGTTAGAAAATGTTCTAGAGACAAGATGAGAGTTTTATCAGAGTCTTTTTGCTCTGAAAATGTTAGATTAGCAGTTTGATTCTCCAGTGAACATTGTAGACCAGGATGCAGTTCTGCAAGCCTCTGCTGCTGTTCTGTAATATCTGGCAATTCACCCTAACCTTAAGAGCCAGATGTGGAGACCTCAATCTACACCTTAGTCCTAAATCCAACCCCCAACCCCTAACCCAAAAACGGCATCTCTTCTTATGGGGTCTCCAGGTTTGGGCCCTATAAAGAGCAGGTGGTCCCCACTATGTGTGTGTGTTTTTTTTTTTTTTAGAAAAATGGTCTTTACACTATGTCAAAAACAAACACATACACAGTTACAATGAGTCATACAACCTTAGAGGATGAAGCACCAGCTAAGCAGTTGCTGTGTTAAGTGTGTAAACAGCTGAATGAAATCAATCTAATCTCTGTCCTTTTGCTCATTTCTGCCACATCTCCTATTTGATTTGCTCTCAGTTTCATCTGATTGGGCTGCCTCCACATAATGTGGTATGAAATGTCCTCCAGGGGACATGTGCAGCTTTGTGTTTATTACCAGGAGTCATGTAGCATCTCCATTCCTCCGCTACACCTAATGTGTTTGTGGCCAACCTGAAGCAGGCAGTATGCAGCGACCATTTAGCTGATTATGATGAGTGAGCTAGAGTGAGTGAAGGGGAAGCAAGATGGATGTACGTGGCAGTAGTTGGGAGTGCAGGGAGCCTCTAGGAAATGACTGAAATGAAAAGCCGGGATGCAGTCTGTTTTAATCTGATCTAATCTAATCTATGGACTCTCAGCAGAGGCCAGGAAGCAGAGAGAAATGGTCAAAACAGTGAGTTGACATGGATTAAATCAATATCCATTTCATTCTTTCACCATAACACATGAAGGCATCTCTTCTTATGGGGTGCCAAAGAAACAGGGGGTTTACAGTTCAGATCCTGCTGAAGAGATTAGATCAAGTTTGTGGCCATTACTGTGAACGGAAAGCTCTGTTTAAGTGTTTTTATCCTTTATACATGAATTACCAGCAATATGTCTGCTCTAAGAAGAGAAAAGAAATCAGGACTCCTATATTGGATTTGTTTTATTAGCTGAAGGCTCAAATGTTAATCCATTTGAGCTTACTGCTCAAATGGTATAGGAGCCATTTTAGCAGCATAGGTGGCTGAGCTAGCAGGGACAAACCTCTCTGTCCTCTGACACGATAACTGTCACATGGCCAACCTCCGCCAATCCAAATAAACGGCAGGAGGTTAGAAATAAATATCAGTTGTTCATGTCGTGTCTGTCCACTTTTTTTTATTGGACCAATACCGATATGTCAACATTGATGTACGTGCCAATATTTTGTGCATCTCTACCAACAACAGCACTAGGTGAGTCTGAGCTAGGGGTGGGCATTTATCATATAGTTTTATTTTTTTTACTGAAAAATTCTTGTCTTTTGATTTACCGTTGTCAAAATTAATTTCAGTTATTATTTAAAAAACTAACCAAAATGCTCATTTTATTATCTTCTCCCCAAATTAATTTTTTTTTAAATTTTTTTACAAGAGCATCAATAAAAATAAGTATATTTGCAAATAGGATGAAATAAAGTCTCTGTGTGCAGATTATGTCTCATCTGAAATCACTCTTCTTTAAATGTGCAGTGTCCTAAAGTTACCCATTTTAAATAGGAAGGTTTTTCTAAGAACAGCATTTATCTTTGTGACTGCTGTGCCTGTAGTTTGCTAAAAAGGAAGTGTTTTTTTTTCAAACATAATTTTAGTAGTTATTAGAGTAGTCCTACAAAATATAGTGATGAAATTGAAACTCCTGTAGTCTAAGCTATCCTACAGAAAGGTGGGTTAATATACTAGAACCACTGCATACATCCTGTTGACAGAAACCAACAGTTCTGTAGCAAATGTCAGAAATGGCGCCAGCAGACCATGTCTGACATGATGCTCTAATGCACTCCCTTAAGAGAAGCTGTCAGTTTTTCATCAAAACAGACTTGGTTTAACTGACTAGCCAGTGGGAGGTGAGAGTAGCAGATGAAAACTTACATACTCCAGTGTGTGAGCTCTACTACGCTGTGTTTGATACTGAGAGCATGTCTGGTCCAGGGCCCCGTCTGGAAACACAGACCAAAATGCATTTTATTGTTGTCTCCAAGCCAGCTGATGCATCACTGGATATTCTGAAGAATTTCTGACTTCAGGATTGTGTGGTTTTCTGAGACTCATTGAAATATTCTGACACTGTCTGAACTGTTCAAAGCATTGAACAAAAGTTCTTCCTTCAGGTATTCAGAAATTATTTAAGTTAAGAGAGAATAAATATAATTTGCGAGGTTTGTTTATATTTGAATGTGCAAAAGAGAAGAGCCAGATAAAGTCTAGATGTGTTTCAGTTATTGGTGTGAAACTGTGGAATGAACTGAATGATGAATTTAAGTTATGTTCTTTTTTGGTTAACTTCAAAAGAGCTTTAAAATGTAAAATGATAAAATCTTACGCTATTATTTAGATTTATATATGTATTGTGAAAATATCCTGGTAGGTTATAGGGCAGGGGTGTCAAACTCCAGTCCTGGAACTTTTAGATCTGCCTCTGCTGCACCATCTGAATAGAATAATTAGGTGATTAGCAAGGCTCTGGAGAACTTATATACACAAGGAGGGGGTAATTAAGCCATTTCATTCCTGTGTTTTGTACCTGTGGCACATTGAAAAACTGCAGGACAGTGGCCCTTGAGGACTGGAGTTTGACACCCCTGTTACAGGGTAAAAAAAATAGGTTAGGCAAGAATAAGCTTTGCTTCAGCCTATTCCTTTTTTGGTAAATTGTGGGTTATTTATTGTTATTGTTATTTCTTATTGTTTCTGGTGATGTGGACAGTTTACCAAAATAAAATAAATGAATGAATGAATGAATCAGTGATTGATCAGATGTAAACCAGGCGAGCAGTAAGAGGCATGAATCAGAGCTTTCCTGGCGGCAGGGATTCGTCCTGGAGCCAGTGGGTTGCTGCTTCTCTGTTGTTGTGTCCTTGGGCATCAAGAACACTTTTAGGATTCACCCACCTTGCTGCTGGTGAGTGTCAGAGAAAACTGCTGTCCTCCTCAAACTGTGGTATGAACGTGTGCTGCATTCAGTGTTCCTCAAGAAAATGTCACTGTTGACTGTTCCCAGGCAAATATGAGCAACTGGATGATTAGAAGCCAAGCTGTGCTGTAATGCAAACTAGGAATATAAATTGTTCCAGGGCATTGATCATGGGGAGGGACTTCATATTCTAACAGAAGAGAACATGAACTGTGTTATAGGATGTGGAGGATGAGTCAGTTGTCAGTAGCCTGAATGTAAAGTGTGACAAGATCTGACTTATTAATCTGGGAAATGAAGGAAACTGGTGGTTAGAAGTATTTTCCAGGTCTGGAAGAAAAATGAACAGAGTTTTAAAAATGTTTTACAGTCTGTTCCTTCCCTTCAACTGTATTTAATCACTATTAGATAAATAAATCAGTTATGATTTTTTTTCCATATTCTAGCTGCCCAGGCCTGACTGGAAGGATATGTTTCCACTCCTCAGGTTCCCTTTAGTTTGTGTTACTGAAAACAGAGAACAGCTGTGTAGAATGTGTTTCCATGTTGCGCAGACTTTAGGTATAACCTTGCTTTTGGATCTCTTGACAGCCCTACAGTGTTACTGTGACCGCTGCAGCGCCAACTCCAGCTGCACCACAGATGGCGTCTGCTTTGTGGCCATTAAGAAGTCGGGGAGCCAGCAGATCTCAGAACAGCGTCAGTGCATACATGACAGCGAACTGATCCCTCGAGACAGACCCTTTGTTTGTGCCCCGAACTCCAGAACGGACACCGGCATCTTCCCCATGTGTTGCTCATCTGACTACTGCAATAAGGACCCGGATTTCACAGTCTTTCGTAGGTATCCACACCAACACCTCATACAACAGCTGCTAACGTACTTCTAGACTTTTCAACAAAAGGCAGATGTGACCAAACTCATCTGGGAATAAACATGTATTTGAATAAAGGGCTAAGTTAGAATGACTGAATGTCTGGTTGCCTTGGACTTAGCCCTGTGGTAGTGAAACCAGCTTTGAGGACACAAAGAGCTCAGACTGTGACCTCTTTAAAGATGGAACATTTTTCACCTGAGACTCTTCAAACAGAGCTGGGCCAAGGACACACAATCGCAGAAATAAATTCAAGTGGGTGAGTCCCAGAGAGTCCTTTATAGAAATCCTGACACTGGTTCACTGATTGGTATGTCACCTTTTATCTTGATGAGGCCATCAACCCATCATGGAAACCTGAAGGCCTAGCTTGCGTTTCACCAAAGTGTGATCAGATCCATCATTTATTTATTTTATGGTAATCCATGTAGGCCTGTTGCGCTAAACGATAAATCAATCGCACAATAAATTAAAACTATTGACCTCATTTCAATTATCAGCTATATCGTTTCTTCCTGCCTTTTTCTCTGACACTGAATGAAAAAAGGCTCAACTCCGGTGCTCTCCACTGACCCTCCCTTCCTTATTTCCTTAGTGTAATGCCCAGCGCGCGCTGCACGATCTTATGTCGCGGATTGTCGGCCCATTATCAAAACCTGAGAGACACATTAGCCGACAGAAATCCTAGATATAACTGTTCAATCGAACCGTGTTGTGTCCAACAATGAACACAAAATAATAAGTCCAGTTCACTAATTTTGAAACCAGGAATTAATCAATTCCTGACTACAATCTACCTGCAATGCATGTGGCTAGTGTCAGTCCTGACTGAATGAAAATAATAACTATTTAGGTCACGATAACGAAGAACAGCTGAAAAGTTACTGGGTTTTCTGGTAGAAATTTTGCTCCAACCCCTCCTCCAATTATTGATATTTTCTTTGCACGAAATGTTGAATAAACATTCATGTTTCCTCATATCATCTTTGATGTCTGCTGGACTTCGGGTTGCACCGTATCAGCTGTTCGGGATTCCCTCCGTGTTTCCCCTGAGAAAGCACGAGGAGAATCCGCGCTTTCTGATTGGCTACCGGTCACATTCAACAGGCTGCGTTAAGCTCCCAGTCTGGGCAAATCCTTCATTTAGATCAGAGCGGCAACGACGATCTACCGTAACATACCACACAAGTGACAATCTCAGAACGAATAACGTTCTAAAATTGTCGTTTGGGGTAAAAAAATCCTGTAGTTTGAACTATTGCATCAGGCAGTCGGATTCTTCTCTATTTAAAACTAATTATTACTCAATATACTATACAGACTTCATAATCTGCACTCTTTTGGTTGAATGCAGCATTTATTTCCAGTTTGGCTTCATGTTGTTTAGTTTTTATTCAAGTCCATTTATTGTTAATGGAGACTGAGAATCTATTTTATTTTTGGTTTTGGTTGTTTTTACTTATTTTGTGTATCAGTCCCAGTGTTAAGTGTCTTTTGAAAGTAAAGTGTATCTATCTTTGGCAGGAAATCGCATGTATTATTTTGTAATTTACGTAATTAATCAGTGTAAAAAGGTCTTCAAACAACATTATCATTTATCGCAATAATTTTTTGAGACAATTAATCGCCTAGCAAAATCTGTTATTGTGACAGGCCTAAATCCATGTCTGAAGTTCTCTGTTTGTCTGAGATCTGCTTAATAATAATACCCCACCTGTAAATGTGCCAGACCATGATACCTTTAGAACAGAGGTGTGTGTGTTTGTGTGGGGGAATAGAAAGTGTCATTTAATAGAACAACCATGTTCACTTACCATTGAGTGTGTCGGTCTCAAGATAGCTCTCACCACAGATGTCAACAACACTTACTGAGCTTAAAGAATGAGACACAAAGAAGGAAATCTCTTGTTACCAAGAGATTTCAATTTTACCTGGATCACCAAATGCAAAGCTCTTCAGTAATAGTTCATATGTTTTGGAAAACATCACTCAACTGAAACGGTGATGTGGAAAACCTGAAATCAAATTTGGTTACATTTGGTGTTGGTGCTACCTTTATTGATTTCCAGAAAGTTTCGACATCACATCACAGGAAGTCCTGCGGTGAATCCTCCCTTCTGGGAGCTGTGCATAAAAACAGCTTAAATGCTGTGAGTTTTTACCTGTCTGTTGCTCTTCAGTATTTCTTGTTCTGCCATGACTGGGCCTAACACATGATATATTCCTCTGCTTTCTTCCTTGTGTGTTGTAGCAGAAGAAGAAAAGCCCCACTCTTTGGGCCCCGTGGCCCTCGCTGCGGTGATTGCATGCCCAGTGTGTGTGATGTGTCTGCTGCTCATTCTGGCATTCTACATCTGCCACAACCAAAGAGGTCTGGGTGCTGGCGGAGCGGGGGCCCTCCACCACCGTGTGCCCAATGAGGAGGACCCCTCCATGGATCACCCCTTCATCACTGTTGGAACAACACTCAAAGACCTCATCTATGACATGACCACATCCGGCTCTGGATCAGGTACTCCTCACTTACCTACACTCACGTTTTAGTTTTTAACTATTCACTAAAATACTCATAGACCTTGCACTAAACACAAATGACTATGGGAAATCCTTGTATCAGTGTGTTTATTAGTTTGACCTCTTATTGGTCAAACTAATAAGATTGCCCTTCCTTGAGAAAGAAGTGCAATTTTCAAAAATGGGTGTGGCCAAAATAGTTCTCCCCCTCTGGCTGTTTTGAATGCAGATATAAAACTAGGTACATATTTTTATATTGCCATGTTGGAATGTTAATCGCAATTTTTTTCAATTTGAGGAGCAGAAAGCTTTTTGCTTTTCATTTATTATGTTGCTTGCATGATTTACTGGTATTTTGACATTTTTCATGCAGTCGTTCAGGCTATATGTCCTCCATACTGTAGTGTTGTGGTAATTGAGACCGGTCTTAAGACCACTTTTTGATGGTGTCCACTCGAACTCGGCCACATTTGGTCTCAGTTTTGTCTTGGTCTAAACCACAACTGTATCACCTAAATGTCAGCATATTGTCTGGTTTTACTTGTTTCCAGTGGATGCAAAACATAGGGATTCATATCCAAGCAATAATGCGACTTACTAATTACCTGTTTTCGTTACCACCGTCACCCATCATCTCCCCCTTTAACTCGCACTCGGGGCTCCAAGACATGCTCAAAGTTTGTCATGGAGTGGGAGAAGATGTCTGTGTAATCATTGGTAATACATTTCCCTATATAAATCATAAGAAAGTACGACATTTGAATTCAGCAACGTTTCACCTTCAGATACGGTTAGGACTAAGTCCAACTTTTAGTATCTCTTTGAAAAGGTGCTCAAAGAAACACGTAAGCAATTTGAAATGATGTTAGCAAAGCTAGTTGTACAGGGACAGATATGTTGCATTTGTGATTGAAAAAATGCTGTCACTTACTCTGCTTATTGTGCAGAGGTGTTGACTGATGTGCCGCACAATGTGACTTTCACAAACAATCCGATTCACTGTACGATAAAACTGGAGTCCCACTGAGAGACATTCTTTGTTTTTGTAATGCTCTGCGTGTGCAACAGTATATATTATTATTTCATTTTATTAAAAAATATTCACCCATTCATCCATTTTCTTACACCTTTGTCCCTAGTGGGGTCGGAAGGTAGGCCTGTCGCGATAAACGATAAATCAATTAATCACACGATAAATTAAAACTATCGACCTCATTTCAATTATCGGCTATATCGTTTCTTCCGGCCTTTTTCTCTTACTATTGATGACACTGAATGAAAAAAGGCTCCACTCCGGTGCTCTCCACTGACCCTCCCTTCCTTACTTCCTTAGTGTAATGTCCAGCACGCGCTGCATGATCTTATGTCGCGGATTGTCGGCCCATTATCAAAACCTGAGAGACACATTAGCCGACAGAAATCCTCGGTATAACGGTTCGATCGAAACCGTGTTGTGTCCAACAATGAACACAAAATAATAAGTCCAGTTCACTAATCTTGAAAATGAGATCTGGATCTCACTGGGGTTTTACCTGGTTAAATGAAGGAAATAATAACAATAAAAAATAAGGTTTTACTTTCAGGGTTTATGTTCATGTGGAAGAAGAATGTCATATTTAATTTCAAGAGGTGAAGCTATGAAGAATTTGGAAATTTTCATTAATTTATAGATTTCTGCACATTTAGCATTGCTGTTGTGGATCCACAACGTGCACACAGCAACATCAATGTAAGAAGACAAACACTTGGATGTTTTTCCTTTCTTTTCTGTATCTGGCAGCTCAGAAAGAAGATGAGCCTCTCCTGTGTTTTGTGGATTTTCCTTGCAGGCCTGCCTCTGCTGGTCCAAAGGACTATCGCCAGAACCATCATCCTGCAGGAGAGCATCGGGAAGGGACGTTTTGGCGAGGTGTGGAGGGGTAAGTGGCGTGGTGAGGAGGTGGCTGTGAAGATCTTCTCCTCCAGAGAAGAGCGCTCCTGGTTCCGTGAGGCTGAGATCTACCAGACCGTCATGTTGCGCCACGAGAACATCCTGGGCTTTATTGCTGCTGATAACAAAGGTGAGCAAAGGCCTCAGCAGCCTCTGTGAGAAAACTATACCAGCAACTCAGTCAAAGGAATGTTTAGCAAGAGATTGAGTGAAGATGAAAATGATTAAAATTTAAGAACTTACACAATAAAGAATGGAGACCCATCTTCTCTATACATTAGTGTGGGATTATCAGCTCATCTTGATTTGTCCAATCCGAACAACACCTCTCACAGCGAAAGAGAGGTGCTAATCTAGTCCATCCTGTGTATGATGGCTGTGTGTGTGGGCAGATAATGGAACCTGGACTCAGCTGTGGCTGGTGTCAGACTACCACGAACACGGCTCCCTTTTTGACTACCTGAACCGCTACACGGTCACTGTGGAGGGCATGATCAAGCTGTCGCTGTCCACCGCAAGTGGCTTAGCTCACCTTCACATGGAGATCGTAGGGACACAAGGTGAGCCGCTACACACAGCTTCACAATCGAGTTCAAATGAATACGAACATATTTTCTTTTTAATAGATTTAATCTCTAAAACTGCTGTGGAAATTCTCACTGATTTAAATCCTTCAGTTTCAGAAATGGAGGATTTAATCAAATCTTTGATAAGTCAAATCAAAGATTTGACTAATCTTTGACTAGTCAAAGATTAATATAGTCTTTGACTAATCCAGTATCGTATTTAAAACCTAGATTGATTCTTGTGACCACAATTTGTTGGCAACTGTTTGTTTGTGTGCAGGAAAGCCAGCTATTGCTCACAGAGACCTAAAGTCCAAGAACATCCTGGTGAAGAAGAACGGGACCTGCTGCATCGCTGACCTGGGTCTGGCTGTTCGACATGATTCTGCCACCGACACCATCGATATCGCTCCAAACCATAGAGTGGGAACCAAAAGGTAAGTGTTTTCATTCCTTTCTAAATAGTGCCAGATCACATCGTGAGCCTTTTCTGTCTCTCAGTGGTCTATCCTCTACTTTGCTCTCTGTCTAGCTAGCTTTATAGCAGACCCATTGGACTGTATGAGGGAGCCAATCGCCTTGGCTGTATATTGATGTTACTGCGCAATAGCCAGCCTCGACATAACCCTCACAACTCCCATGGGCTGACTACTGAACAGCTCTCCATCTAACAGGTCCAGAAAGTCCCTAAACCGTCGAGTCTTACCCTGGTCTAAGAGAGATAATCTATTTAAGCTGGTGTCAAGAGAGGATTATAGGTAGTGTTAACTAGCGTTAACTACCTATAATCCAAAAGTTATGTCCTTTCTTCAGGTAAGAAGCAATCAGTTGAGTAGTCCTCACAACTGGATAACGCCAATAACCACACCTGCTAGCAGTAGCTCTCTCTCTATCAACAATGAGCACTTGTTACTGGCGAGATTTTTTTTTTAGTGGCTCAACAAAAGCCCCCAGGTCATTATTCTACAAATGCTATAGGAAAGCCACTGCATTTCTAGAATCACGTACATGGGTTTTACACTAATTAGAGGCACCAAAATCAATAGATGACTCAATTAATTTCACTTTCTGCAAATCTCATTAGAATTTTAATGCATCTTTTTTAAGCAAGCTTTTAGCAGGGATAAATGACAAACAGATTATTTGTCAATGATTACATATTAAGAATAAAAATCAAATTGAGTAAAATCAACTTAAATCTTTCCCTAACCTAAAATTGTGCCACCAATTTGCTGAGCAAGGCTTTGGGGTGCAGTTCAACTCGTGCCATATGACGGATGATCTCACCAAAAGAAGGCTTTAGTGTCCTTGGCCAGACTCTTGGCAAGGCAACTCCTCTTTTGAGTAGAAACTAAGCAAAGCTGATTGGTGTCTTTCAAACACTTAGATCTTCATCACCTCTGTGATCCTTGTCAAGCCTGTTGCAGCAACCTTGGGATCTTTGGGTTGAGTGCAGAGCAGCAGTCGAATCAGGAACCAGGGACTGAGGGTCAATGGGTCTTGTCTCCCTTAGTAGTATGAAGTCTTCACTTCCCTTTGGCTCTAGGACGTGGTCGTCTGCTGGTCTTCTGTCTGCATCTTCTTGTTAGCTCGACTTCACACCAGAGACGAAGATCCCTGCCTCCCCTCTTTCAATACTATTATAAACTTGTAATTCATAATTTTTCATCATATTATTCATGCCTTAATCTGCTTTTTATTACAAGACTATTTATGTAATAATCAACCAATCAAAATCAGAAATCATTAAATCAAACCCAAAAATACACATTTAATAATCATCATTAAATCAAGGTTACTTCAATCTCTCAGGCCCTTGTGATCTGTTTTCTGTATGAACCAGGAAAGATCTCACCTCTTCATGCCAGTTTTCACAACAACATGAAGACTGAGTTGGTAATGAAATACATATATGATGGTGAGCGAGAGAGAGGGGCATAGAGATGAAAGATGAACTAAGGAGACAGAAAGACAAAAACATAGACAATAGAAATGAAAATAGAAATATAAATTGGTCTTCTAGCAGTTTCCCATGTATATCCTCCTCCTTCCCCCAGCTCCATCTGCTCACCTGTGATTAGCTTGTGTGGCTTCTTCAGATTGCAGTATTCCTCTCTGTTTCCTCCATTAATTTTCCTATGCCTCCCTTGTGTGCTCCAGAAGTTTCTTCATTAAATATTCATTCCATTGCCATCCTGAGTCCCACACTACATTTTTGTCCAGTCGACACTGCACACTGACACCTGAAAGATGAACAAAACAATAAAGAATAAAAAACTTTTTCAAATTTTGTTTTTCCTTAGGAATGTTTTGTTGAACATGTAGGCCTGTTGCAATAAATCAATTAATCAATTAATGGCGTGATAAATTAAAACAAGCTCTATAATTTCCATTTGCATGATTTTTTATTTTCTACTTTTCTCTCTTTTTCTACCAAAAACTGGATGATAAAAGCCTAAAGTCTGGTGCTTTGCTCTCAACTACCCTTTTTTGGCTTCTGCTATTGCTGAAGCCAGTGTAGTAATGAGCCAATGTAGTAATAATATGTCCAGCAGGTGAGACAGAAATGTGGCAGCTTTGTCGCATTTCTTCTCATCCGTCATCCTGTCAGGGTCTTGATTCTGGGGGGCCATGGCTGCCTACAGTTTGTGTTGGGGGCTGGATGTTGATCGGATAGAAATAATAATAGACAGAATGCTTGCTAACATTTGTTTCCTTCCTTACCTTACTGCAGGCCTGCAAAGTTGACAGTAGGTTTTGGCAACTTTGCAGGGCGAGGACAACCAGATGGTTGTCCTCGCCCAGCTTCTCTGATGTTTATAGGCTGCAGGTGAATTACAAGCTCTCGAAATGATTCAGCAGGCGTCAGGCCAGTGGAGTGATATGCTTCTCTGTTAGGACCCAGTAACATCTAACTACAGACGGTGTCCATAGTTGTTCCTAACCTAAAAAAAAACATACATTGTCATCTCTGTATTAATTATTATTTAAGATTATGTCTCTCACAATTCTAATTTTAAAAAAATCATACATTGTGATCCCCGTATTGTTTTTTTTTTTTTTAAGATTATGTCTCTCACAATGGACATGCAGCTAAGATGAAAATTTTAGACCCCTCCATGATATATCGGTAAGGGAACTTGCAAAATCACAGGGTATATTTAGTAAAAAAATTCTGTGTGACTTTCATGTTTGTCTCATTCAGTCAACAATCTTCAACTGTTTCATACAACAAGTTCTAAATCATGAAAACAATTCCAGACCTGGACTGTTGTGAAGTTAAATTTTATACTTCAGCCAAAGTACTGCTACAACCTAATTAGCATAATGTGGAACTACATTATGCTGATTAGGTTAGCATAATTACCTAACCTTATTAGCTAATTAGTGACATTAGATGACGTCGACTAATAAAGTCGGTTATCAGACAATGTCACACTGTCTCAGCACCCAGTCTGCACAAAGAAAGCAGTCATATAGTTTTTTTTTTTTTTTTTTTTGCTCTAGTGAAATTTAGTTGAGCGTGATCAGACTGGAAAATAGGTTATAGAAAGGAGGAAGACATGTTACAAATGTCACCACGATGGGAGTTGAATCCGTGACGGCCACATTGAGACTTAGGCCTCCGTACGTGGTTGTGCTTTACGTCTGCACCACCACAGCACTCCCATCGTATGTTATTCTGTTTCACTTATTTACAGTTAGGCTAATAAAATCATTTACAACTGGCAGACTGCACAGATCACCTGACTTTGCCCGACTCGCACGCAGCTCTGCAGCGTCTGCTGTTGTCAAAAGTATTATTTTTAGTATAGCATCTCTGCTATACTACCTCTGGCACTACCTCCAATTCACACACACTGACACCTACAGACAATTTAGCAAGACCAATTCCCCTAACAATCAGGCGAGGATGTGAAAAAAGGACTTTCTTGTTGCAAAGCAACAGTACCTACCAATTGCCTTGCTATACAGCCTACATTTAGTGCTTTACATCATAAACACAAAAACACAAAGTCATGCAACATAGAATAAACAATACATTGTTACATATTACATTTCAAATACAATTCTAAACAGAATGTGTTTTAGTTGAGATTTAAAGGAAGTCAGGGTTTCCTCTGTTTTATAGTTTTCTGGAAGTTTGTTCCAAAGTTTTGGTGCATAGATGCTGAAAGCTGCTTCTCCTCTCTTGGTTCTGGTTCTGGGGATGCAAAGCAGTACCAGAACCAGAAGACCTGAGAGGTCTGGAAGGTTGATACAACAACAGCAGATCTTTGATGTATTGTGGTGCTAAACCGTTCAGTGATTTATAAACTAACAACAGTATTTAAAATCTATTCTTTGAGCTACAGGGAGCCAGTGGAGGGACTTAAAAACTGCTGTTATGTTCTCTACCTTCCTGGTTTTAGTGAGAACAGGAGCAGCAGCTTCTGGATCAGCTGCAGCTGGAGGATTGATTTGTTGGACAGGCCTGTGAAGACGCTGTTACAATAATCAATGTGACTAAAGATAAACACAGGGATGAGTTTCTCTAGATCTGACTGAGACATTAGTCCTCTAATCCTGGAGATGTTCTTCAGTGATAGAAGGCCGACTTTGTAACTGTCTTTATGTGGCTCATAAGGTTCAAATCCGAGTCCATCACTACTCCCAGGTTTCGGGCCTGATTGCTAGTTTTTAGTTGTAATAACTGAAGCTGTGCATTGACTTTAGATCTATAGCTCTAGATCGTTCCTCTTTAGGTTCCAAAAATAATGATTTCAGTTTGGTTTCTGTTCAGCTGGAGAAAGTTTTGGCACATCCACACATTTATCTGTTCTAAACATTTATTCAGTGATTGGATGGGTTCAGAATCACCTGGTGACATCATATTAATAACTATAATGACATTTAGTCGCACAACTTTACGGATTTGTTCATTCGTAGCTGTTTTCACGTTTATTGCTGTTCATATCAGTCTTGATGGTTGCGGTTTTGTTGTGTGTTTTGTGGTGAATGTAGTGTTGGTGCAAGCGAAACGCCAGCGGGCCGGTTTTAATAGTAATTGAATATCATCCTGGGGGCCACAGACAATTAATTCGAGGGCCGTATCTGGCCCGCGGGCCTTGACTTTGACATATGTGGTCTAGATCATGTTCATCTAGTCTACAATGAAGGAGAAACAAATATGACTTAGAGTTATCTATTTTCTCATAATCTGTCAGCTTTAATTGCAACAACATAATGATGTATATTACTCTTGAATAACATATACTGTCTCTAAAGTATTGCTGAACAGCAGAGGGTATTGCTCTCAGATAAAGTTAGCTAAAATTCTTATTTATGCTTGATATCAGAGCAGGTGAGGGTCTTCCTGTTTTCACCTCCCAACAGGACATTCATCTTTTCATGCTGGGCTGCTCTCAGGCTGCCTTCCCACCCTCTGAAAAATGACTGCAGCACTAGATGGAAATATATATATATATATATATATATATATATATATATATATATATATATATATATATATATAAAAAATAATAATTCCCTTCTCACCCACCGCGGGTGGTTCTTCTCCTCTGAACTCGGGTCCTCTACCAGAGGCCTGGGAGCTTGAGGGTCCTGCGCAGTATCTTGGCTGTGCCACGGACTGCACATTTCTGGACTGAGAGGAGGATAAGAACCACCTGCGGTGGGTGAGAAGGGAATTTTTATATATATATATATATATATATATATATATATATATATATATATATATATATATATATATATATATATATATATATGGTAATGGCGAACCAACCAGACATTGTCGTAGTGGATAAACATCAGAGGAAAGCCGTTGTGGTAGATGTAGCAATACCAAGTGATTGCAACATCAGGAAAAAGGAGCACGAGAAACTGGAGAAATACCAGGGCCTCAGGGAAGAACTGGAGAGGGCCTGGAAGGTGAAGACCACAGTGGTGCCTGTGGTCATCGGGGCCCTCGGGGCAGTAACCCCCAAACTGGAGCAGTGGCTACAACAGATCCCAGGAACAACATCAGACATCTCAGTCCAGAAATGTGCAGCAGTCCTTGGCACAGCCAAGATACTGCGCAGAACCCTCAAGCTCCCAGGCCTCTGGTAGAGGACCCGAGCTCAGAGGATAAGAACCACCCGCGGTGGGTGAGAAGGAAATTTTTTTTTTTTTTTTTTATATGTATATGTATTAAACTTTCATCTTGACATCATTTTGTTCTTCAGCCTGAGTGAACAGATTACTGCCAGCCTGCAGTCTGTCTTTATTTTCAGTCAACAAACATTTCCGTCATAGTGAACTAGTTTCAGTCATGTTGATGTTTCAGTAGCGTGTATCCAGCCAGATGTGGAGGAAGCTGTTAGTTAACAGCAGCACTCTAATACTGTTTTAATGATTTAATGTCAGAAGGAGCTGAATCACAGGCCCCAGCTGCTGAGTTGCAGTTTTCATATTAATGACTGTAGAACGTTCTCGAGCTTCGTTCCTGCTGGCTTTGCTCGATGATGTGCAAACATGGCCCTGTAAGAACTAGAGCAGTTCTGATGACTCGTGTGCTCTGTGCTGGAGTATTTACTTCACACCAACTCCTTTCCAAAAGCAGGCATTTGTTGTCTTGAAGTGGTTTCCTTTCTTAGGCTAAGAAGGAAAGATGTTTACTCCAAGTATGTTTGTCACCAAAAGTTACTGTACATTAAAGCACCCAGGAGCTTCAGCGGGTGTTTTATGGACATGGTTTCTGCTGCAGAGATAACATTTATTCAGTTCTAGTCCAATCTGGAATAGAACAGCAGCACTCAAATACATTCCCTGCTCGAATTTTTAAAGTGAGAAGCATCCAGTCAGAATGAACACAGGCTGAAATATGTCAGATATTTAGCTTTATGGGTTTGCAGCGTTATGAATGAAGTTCTGACATCAGTCACTGTCTGGTGTTTCTGTATGAAATACATCCTGATTCCATGCTGAGGAATGTGTTGGGTAACAGTCCATGTTGCTCCCTGTCAGGTACATGGCTCCAGAAGTGCTGGATGACTCCATCAACATGAAGCACTTTGAATCGTTCAAACGGGCCGATATCTACGCCATGGGCCTGGTGTTCTGGGAGATTGCCAGCCGCTGCTCTGTGGGAGGTGGGAACTGCACCAAAAATTTTAATTACAGCGGACCTTAACGCTTAGAGTGTAGAAAGATTTGGATACAGGAATGAATATTGCTAATTATATTGACTCCATGCTTTTTTTGTCAGGCATTCATGAGGACTACCAGCTGCCCTACTATGACCTGGTCCAGTCAGATCCATCAGTAGAGGAAATGAAAAAGGTGGTCTGTGAGCAGAAACTTCGACCAAATATTCCCAACCGCTGGCAAAGTTGTGAGGTAGGCTGGAAGGGGCTGAGTCAGAATCACTGTTGTCAATCAGAACCAGCACCAGTGATGGGCTGGACTTCTGCTGGAACACAGCCTCACACCACCACACTACCATGATTAATTGTCACATGACTTTCAGATTTCTGTTGTGTTCATTTGAAATGTGTTGTGACCAGTGATGTCAATTGGATCACTTTTTTCAGTGATGAGTAATCTAACGCATTACTTTTTTTAAATTCTGAGCTGCAACAGAATTTAGTCATTCCATTTGCAGAGTGGTTACATTTCTCTCCTTTCTTCTTTGCTCCCTTATATCCAACAGCTATATTCAATTAATGGCTGAAAATATGTAATTGTGATGAGAAGAGCTCCACAGGTCCGTCTATCGCTGCGTTATCCAGCAGTAGAAGTGTGAAGCCGTTGTGTGGGTGTTGTAATGCCTTTTGGCTCTAATGTGGCTGATGGATAGAGACTGTGTTAATGAGGACTGGAGGATGTAGTACTATGGTCTCAGTAGACAGTCTGACACACGCACACGCCCACACACACTCTGACTCAGAGAAAGCAACTGCTGTTTATATCCCCAGCTCTGGTCTGATTGCTGGACCAGTTTTCAACAGCTCGTTGGGATGTCTAGTCTTACAGAGCTGATTTTTAACAAATGATCTGTTTGTTAGAGAACAGATTAACCTTTTATTAAACTCTTTTTAAATTAATCCTTAAAATTCTAACAGCAGCTTGTTGTTTCTGCTAAACAGAACAGGTCAGTGAAAGGTCATTGATGTATTTGTTGCACCAAAACATGTTAGCAAAATAAGCAGTTTGTTATTGATGATATTGATTGGTAGTCTTCCAAACCGTACCTTACAATGCAAATATGACAAACTTCAAAGCCTCCAACCACAGCTGTCTTCTAAACCAAAGTAACAACTAAACAGCAAAATGGAAAACACTGGTTCATTATAATCATTTTTGTGTTTTTTTAGCATTTCTCAACTTGAAAGGTGAGAACTGTAAGATTGTAGTGTCTGATTAACTCTTGTGTTGTCTTGCAGGTCGAAAGTGACCCACTAGCATTGTTAAGCTGTAGAAAAAATACCCTAAACAATCTTTTTCCTTCTTGAAATTGTATTACTTTTCCTAAATTGACCCCATCATGAGAAAAATATATTTCCATGGTGGCTGTACACCACTAGGGTGCAAGGATTATCTTATGGGTCATTTCTGACCTGTAAATTGTAAAAACATTTCAACATCAGTAAAAAAGTTCAAACCCCACACACTATATACTACATACACACATACACCACCCCACACACACCTCTGCACACCACCCCGCTCACACAGTATACACACATATCAAATTAACTGGATTGATGTACGAATTGAACTAGGACTTGATATGCACTCTCAGTCTGCAACTAACCCCTCACATCACACAAGTTCCCAACACAACAGAAAACAATCTGACATAATAAAAACAAATTAGGTGGAGAGGATATAAAAGTATGGTGAATCTGAGTACTAGTAGTTGGTTCTTCGTTGACACCATGAGTAGATGTTTCTCTGCCTAACATGTACTACTTTGTATATTTGCACATAATGTCCTACATGGGATCTTCAGCATAAGCAGTTGAACATCTTATGTTGAACAATTCTTGCGCTGAAGATGTTTGACGTCAGAGTGTCTTCATACTAACAAACACCTAAACACCTTCATACTATGAAGTATGAATACTAGGAAGATTTTCTTGAACATTGTGTGTTCAACGTGGGATTTTCTTCATGTTACGTTCAACGTGGAGAGTTGAGCATAGGATGTTCTTTGTCTTATGTTGAAGATGTTCATCATGAAAGCATCTTTATCAGATGAAAAACATCTTCATCTCATGGGGATGTTCTTCATCTTAAGTTCAACGTGGGGTGGGAAAGATAGGATGATCTTCGGCTTATGTTGAAAATGTTCAACGACCCTAGCAGGTCCGGTTTGTGTGAGGAGGGGGACAAACTGCTGATGTGTGTCTCTTCCTGTGTGCAGGCTCTGCGGGTCATGGCTAAGATTATGAGGGAGTGTTGGTACGCCAACGGTGCTGCCCGGCTCACCGCGCTCCGAATCAAGAAGACTCTGTCTCAGCTTAGCCAGCAGGAGGGAATCAAGATGTAGACCCAGCTCCCAAACACACACACTCACACACACATCTCTGACTGGGATCTATACCATTAGCATTACACCATCTGTGTCCTGACGAGCCCCCAGCCTGTCCTGAAGGGAAGCTGAGGATATTTTGTGTCTCATTCACCGCTTGAGGAAGCTGGTCTCCTGCTGGACAGCTGGACTGATGTCTAGTGGAGACATCTAATGGAGGAAGTCTGTGCCTGTTGGGATGGTAGTGATGTGTAACGAAGCCTCCTATCACTGATGTTTCATTAGAGCATTCTCTTCAATCATCACCATAAACCGTTCTGTAAACAATCCAAACCTTTCCCCTCAGTAGGGCTGCAGCTCTTGAGACGTTATGGAAAGAACTTGTGATTTTCTAAGTAGCATTGAATGTGCTTTTTATCGGGACACTGACCTTGTGTCATATCGTTGCTGTAGCAACTCCCAGGAAGCCTAGATCGTCATCAGCTTGTAAGGGATGTGACAGCTGCTCCACAAACTACTCTGTGTGGCCACTGAGATGCGTTACAGGACAGGAAATGTTGCATTATTTTACTCAATGAGCCAGTCAGCATCAGTGTCCAAACTGGCAGAGTTCCTCAGGATGCCTGGGTCATGCCATGCCATAATGCATCATGGCATGGCATGCATTATGGGTCATCATCTGTAGAAACAGATGATGACCCATAATGCATGCCATGCCATGATGCTTCCCATGCATCATGGGAAGAACGGAAGGACAAGCAGCTGTTTGGGTCAGATTGATTACACATGTTCCAGTCAAAGAGCCAGACACTGAAAATATCCAATTAACTCTGATTAAACTGATTTATTTATTGTGGATAAATAATAATGAACTATTATTATTTACTGCAAACAATATCCTGCAACATCCTAAGTGCAGCATGTTGGCTGCACTTGGAAGCCAACGTCCTGAGCTTTGATACACGTCCTTTCATTTGAATGAAGAGTAAACAAAGCATAGATGTTAGGGGTGTGTTTGATACTATAATCTCTTTTTGTGTTAGATGCAAACATCAGAGAGCCTGTGAATGAGAAGAGACCTCTGACCTGCAGGACATTCTCACTGCAGCTTTAATTCATAAACTACCATCTGACACGTTAAAGCAAATATATGTACAGGAACTGATTTTACTTCAATCAGAAAAGCAACAATTATTACTGTTGCTAAAATGATCTGAAATGGTTAGAAAACGGATATTTGTTAGTTATTCATCCTACTAGAACATAAACATCTGCTGAGCTTAACTAGATTTCAGATGGCCAGAATATGATTGTTTTGCTACTCAGCTCTTCACCAAGCAGGTGTTACTGGGTTAACTACCCATCCTGACCCCAGTGGTCCACACTGAGCTGGTAGCTGTGGGCTCTCTGACTCTCTCGGGTTGATGAATACTTTCTCTATTTATTCTAACAGATTTGAATAGGGGTGATGTTTGCAGCCCTACTGTACAGTTTTCCTACCTTGGATGTAAATCTAGGGGTCGCATCAGGGGCCCCACGGTCAGGTTGTGATGCGAAAGCTTTTTATCATGTCGTCACTCAGTTATACAGGTGAATTTAATTTATTGTTTCTGCTTTTGGATTTTCTTTCTGGTGGTAGGGGACTTCTTGTGCTAAACTGAACCGGACATGGTGACCTCATTCATCTTTGGTGAACATGCTGCAACATATGCAATATACAGTAGATAAATGTGTCTATTTTCTATACTCTGCTCTGCTACAACATAAACAGCAAGACCAACAACAATCAGCTGCCACCATGCCTTCCAAGCCAGCCGGAACCAGAAAGTGCCAGTGCTTTAAAACTCAACTCCTCTCATGTCGGCTGCTGTGGCATGCTTGTTCTCTGTGTGCGTGTGTGTGTGTGTGTGTGTGTGTGTGTGTGTGTGTGTGTGTGTGTGTGTGTGTGTGTGTGTGTGTGTGTGTGTGTGTGTGTGTGTGTGTGTGCTTGTTGGATATACAGTGAGCTTCTACTATGCACACCCAGATGTAGGGACGGGTAGCAAAAAGAAACACATACAGCACACCTGGCAGTGTCCACACCCGGCCCGCCGACGCTCTGGTGCCATTTTATTAGAGACAGCTCCCCACCCCATCACCTCGGCAACCGCTCATCACCCAGCTCCTCCTCTGCTCTGCAGCACCTCCAGCTGGCTGCACTTAGAAAAAATAACAGTCACACATTGTCAGTGGCGCTCAGAGACTTGGAAGCATTATCGATGTTTCCCTATAAATGGATTCTGTTCACAGCTTTGTTTCTTCAACCTGGAGAAAATTTTCAACAGGAAAGCAGTGAGGTAGATTCAGTCAAAGCAACCTGATATTTACTAAGCCATAGGTTTTCCAAGTGTTTATTGTTTTCATCTTGTTTTGTTGCATGGTGTTTTTCTACCAGAATGTACATTTATGATTCATAGGAAACAACCTTGTTACTTCAGCTGATCAAGCCTTAAGGGACCAACGCAAAAGAGTCACTTTCTGCTCTTAGAATCTTTTTTTGTTGTTGTTTTTCTGAAAAAGAAAAAAATAAATATATCTACATATATCTATCTATATATAATTGATTACTATGATAAAGGTAGTGTTGTATGTGAAAGACAGAAGATGTATATGTAGCACCTGATTTAAGAGTTTGTCTGCCTGTTCCCACGCTGCCATCCAGATGAACTGATCCTGGCTTTAACACGGCTCCAAAGCAAGTCTCCAATCAGAAACAGGAAGTCATCGATATTCAACTAGTTCTTCGTGCCAGATTGTAATTTTCATAACCAAACCAGTCTCTTGATTGTTGTTATCAATAAGTGCACTTCAGGCCCACTCCAGGTGCAGTCAACCTGTATGGCAGTGTGGGTCTCCATCAGTCTATTTCTTTCTGCATTACTGTTTTTTGATTCATAATGTATTAATGTGCTGCTATCTGCCTCTATGAGTGGACTTTGTGCTCTGGTTCCATGTGAATGTCCTCGTTTTGCCTGATTGGATCATTTTTGTGACATGTTGCTCAACCTACTTGCTCAGCTGGTCATCATCGTCTCAGCATTAACTGTACACACACACACACACACTCACTGATGAGTCCTTTGGTTGGTGGCCCAACCTGCAGAACAACCTGCTTTCTAAGTCCTTGTAGCAAGTGATTTTAAGAGATCATTGCAGATGTTTGTTGAAATAGATACAACAGCACCTCTAGAGGATGTAACATGTAACTTGTTCAATTAGGAACACTGTAGAAAGCCTGATTTCTGCTGCTCTTTTTATTACTCATCAGCCGTGGTTCCATCATCTATATTAATTATGGAAGACAAGACAAAGATTGTTTTTTTTCCCACCAAATTGGTGTTGGCAACACTTTCTCTCATCCTGCCCTGTTCTGTTCTGAACCAACCTCTGCGGCGTATCAGAACAACCCCCCCACCCACACACACACACACACACACACACACACACACACACACACACACACTCATTTGAGTCATCTGTCAGCATATGACTCTTAATCACATAGAAAACTGTCAGGAGCAGATATGGCATATTCAGTTTTTAGAAGTATCTTGTGGACTAAACAAAGAATAAAATAACGTATTAGAAACGGTCAAATGGAGGTCATACAGCCGGAGTCAAAGTGTACTGATAGAGGGTGTCACATCTACAGAAGTTGAAGTACTTTTCCCAAATACTCGATGAAGTCCAAGCATTTATCTTTAGTTTATGTGGGTTCAGAGGTCAAAAATTGGAATTAAAGACGATGTCAGAGTATCCCTTTAAGAAGCCATGGTGTCCCCTGCTCTTAATCTGTGGCAATTGAGGCTTTACTTCATATTTATTCAATTTGTAAAGTCATTCTCTGGGAGATTAGCAACAACAACAAGCTCAACTCAACTGCACCTCTGGTATACCTCTACTACAACATTCATTTTGTCTTAAAGTCACCAGCAGCCTTGTAACTTTTTCCCCCAAAACTCAAGATAACTTAAATGTAAAGAGAGAAAAAGAGAAATGTTTTGCTTTCTAGAGGAATCTCTCTGTCGTGTATTCCTTATTGCCTTTCTATCTTGTCATTCCATGTTCTTCAACTGACTTTTAACATTTGCCAGCTGCCAAAAGGCCCCGCCTCACTGCAGCCCTGCCTTCAGGCTTTTCTTTCCTAAAATAATGTCATGGGAAGTATTTGTAAGTAGTTGGTGTCTAACCTTTCCACACAACTCTTCTTAATTGCCCTTTTAAAGTTTAGATTACCTCAAAACTGAATTGGTGTGCTTGTCAGGGTATAGAAAAAGGATTCTTTCCAGAGGAGCTGGAGCTGTGATTGTGTTTTCTTCACAGCTTACATCCAGTACTTGGGTTGGATGACCAATCCAAGTACTGTATGGATTGACCTTTGCATCAGATTGCTGGAAACAGTTGGCATGTCTGCAGTTGCTGACTGATGTTACTGATGCTACCTCTGTTTTGATGTCAACTTTAAGCCTTTGGTCCCAGAGTGTGCTCACTGGAGACCCAGTGTCTGGACAGGATGAAGACCCACAGCATTACTGGGATGTTTCCTCCCTTAAATTAGTTCATGCCGTAGCCTTATTTTCTAGAAACCCAGTCAGCTTTTCTTTGTAGCTCAGAATAAATGGTTAATAAGTACCCAGTTTACCTGTATGACCAGTACTCTGTTTCTCTCTGCATTACAAATGCAGCAGATAATTTACTATTTGAAAATGTTTTTTTCTTTGTGGTTTTTCTGTCAAGCAGATGCTTAATTAGATTCAGATTGTTGAAAATATAGCCACACAGTATTTGAACATTTAGGTAATTAGTGTAGAAAAGAAAAACTTTTCACTGGATAAAAGTCATCCAGTACACTTCTCGGTTTGTGTGAAAAAGGCAACAGCAGGCGATACTGGGATGACCAGAAGCAGTGGGCTAAATCGGCAGCAATATGAGAAAGTAAAGCACCTGTCACCACAAATATCTGGAAAATCTTTATCTGACCCGTTTAGTTATTTAAATGCCATAAAGCAGATGCAGTCAGATCAACAAATCAAACATTCAGGCCACAGAAAGCGTTCTCCCTTCCCGTTCTGGACTGACGGAGGCTTGAACATGAATTAGCTTCAAACCACGCACTGACAACTTCTCACAATCAAGAATGTATCAGCCCACTCAGTCAACAAGCACAACTTGCAAATCTCAGCCCAAAGACAGTGGCATTCGCAACAGTCTGCCGCACAGGTCTTTTTGTATGCAACCTCTGGGCGAGTCGGGTCCCTCCAGATCACACAGATTGTACAGCCTACCTATGCTAACACTGTTGACACACTGTGACTCAGGCCAAGTCAGGGCCAGCGATCGTTTCATTCTGTCCTTGTGGTTGCTATCAGAGAGCCAAGGGTCGCTAGGTGGGGCTGCAGTTAGGCTGACGTGATGCCAGGAGTAGCTGAAAGCTTTATCACGTTTTATTTGGTGCCTAAGTTTGATGAGTGTTTTTCTTTTCACCTGGAAAGACAGGATTGCATGTAATTGTCTGAGATTGCATTGACAGCTTTATAACTGGCATTAAAAAGCTGACAAATATTGTGAAACGCATACAGCAATTAGCATATTGAAAAAATCAATTAATAAAAAAGAATATACCTCTGATTGAAGACCAATGTGTTTTACCTCACTGTATATATGCTTGATTTGTTTACTCCAAGTTTGCAACTACTCTCTTTTTGTTTCTATAAAATGCTTAAAAAACATTTTTTAATGGTACTTTCTGTCAGATGGCATTGTTTTGTGTCTGTGTTGTGCCCCAGCAGTATACTCTTCCTCCTTTCCCACTGCTCTGTATATAACCTGTTGTGTTCTGCGTGAGCTGTACAGTCAAAGTGCTTTGCAAATGTCTAAACCCCTGTCTGAGCTCTAGGTACAGTAGCCAGATTTCCTGTGTTGTTGTTGTTTTTTTAACCAAGAAAAAAAAATAAATAAAAAGCAGGAGAGAGTTGGAGTGGAAGAGGCTAGAGGTGATGGGATGGACTGATGAATCAGAAACCTCTCAAACTGTCAAAACCTCCTCACCTTCAAACTGTTGGATTTTTAAGCGTATTATCTAGTACTTTTTTTTCTAATAGCGTGTACATCTGTGTGAGAGATCAACATAGGAACGGGAGGGTTGATAATTATGTTTACTTCTAACATAGCTGGAGTAGAAAATGATGTGAATAAAGAAAGTTTCATTAGACTGTTTGTTTTTGGCTGCTTTATTTGTCAGGTCTTGTCATTCAGGTCAGTAGTTTTATAATTCTGCTGTCCAGCAGCAGCTTCCTCAGGACTGGTGTTGTAAACAACACCAGTCCTGTACTTGATGCAGGAACAATTTCTTATCAACGGTTGGGAAGGAAATTGAATTGTCTATTTATATTTGAGATGCTTAGCTAGGAAATATTGTTAAATATTACAAATTAAACACTTTTCATGAGACCTTATGAAAATCAACAGAAAATTGCAAGTAATTTTTATACAATTGTGTTACGTCCAAAAGGCACAACATATTTGAGGACAAGGAGGCAAGAATGAGAGTTCATAAATTACTTTATTTTAAAACTCTCTTCAATTTTTGTTTTGGTTCAGCTGCTTTGGCTTTCTGTGAAGGTCAAAGAGAGTTAAATATCCTCAGTCCTCCATTCCCCCCGCTGCCCTCCCAAAAAAGGAGAGGAAAAAACGAAACCCAAAAAGTATAAACAGAAAGTTGATATTTAAAATATTTCAGGTACTAAACATGTCATGAAAGATTTTATTTTTAAATAAACATTTTATGTGATTAAAGTAAACAATTATATTATCAGGCATTTTGCAGTAGACATTTACATGTAATGTAAACAATCAAAAAGAGCCCATCTTTAAACATTTAATGTGTAGTTAAACAGTTCAGAGTAAAAGAATAAAGGTGACAAGTAAATGTTATGAAATAGATCACACTAAGTATTTGTTATATTTAACATATTTCAGGTAAGAATGGAATAGATCCTGTCCTAGAATTTGATGTAATTGAACATTACAGGTAACAAATGTGATCATCTGAGGTAATACATTTGATGAACATTTTTAAAAATATATTTTAAACATAAAATGAGTTTTAAAAAAATAAATTAATTAAGAAAAGGGATCAAAATGTAATAAAGGTGAGTTTGCTTCATCTACGCAGTCTAGTAGAACAATTTCACACTGTTTTTGAGTTAATGGGCCACGATTTGGAAGCTATTGAAGAAAACATATTTAATATTAAAATCATTTAAACTATTAGATATGACAAAATTTTAATAGAGGATAGTGTACTTTGTGTAATAGCATGAAATATCACTTTTTGTATCAGTTGGTCACAGACAAGACATTTATTTACAGGAGTGTTTGGTTCGGAAATGGATGGTCCCCAAGTGAACCTCCGAGTGTTGAAGAGGGAGTGGTAGAAATTAGCGTTCATAAATCAGATCAACCTTGAGCAAAACGCCCCTTCTTACTTGCTGTGAGTCTCTTCCAGCCGTGGAAATTGTAGTACGTCAGCCACCTTGAAGACTTTTCAAGTATGAATTACTTTTTTAAGGTCATGCCACAGCATCATTAAAGGATTCATATCAGAACTTGACTAGACCACTCCGAAGCCCTCATTTTATTTTTCCTCAGCCATTCAGAGGTGGACTTGCTGGTGTTTTGGATCATTGTCTTGCTGCAGAAGCCGAGTTGGTTTCAGTTTGAGGTCTCAAACAAATTGCCAGGCTTTCTCCGCCAGGATGTTTTGGTACACAGAAGAATGTGTTTTGATTTGACATTTTTAATGATATGCATGTCGGGATTTGAGTATTTCTGTGTTTATTTTGAGTTTCTGTGTCTCAGTCTCTGTGTTGTCCTGTCTCCCCCTTGATTACTCCCAGGTGTGCCTCATTCCCTTATTACCTTCTGTGTATTTAGTGTCACCTGTGTCTCTGCGTCTCTGTCGGGTCCTTGTCGTGTTTCTCTAGTTTTCCAGTTGTCACCTGTTGTGAGCATTAGTTCTCTGCTCATCTATGTTGCCCGGACTTTTGGATTTTGTTATCATTAAATCACCTTTGTTCATCTCTACCTGGATCTGCTGCCTCTGCCTCACCACTGTTCCACCCGCCTATAATGATAATGCAGGGATGAATAGTGCAAGCAAAGTTATGTTCTTGTGTAAATAAGTCATAGTGACCTCATTCAGACTCATATAGCTTGTAGAATAGGATGGAATGGAGACAGTGAAACATTAAAGTACTCCTAGAACAAAAGCACACGCAGCACTGCATGTGCAAGTACTGTGAGATTTTGAGCTCCTGACAACACAAGAAATCTAAAGTATCAGTTCTTCTGTGAAGGCTGTCATCTACAGTTGAGGCTCAACCCATGGACAGAGACAAGAAATAAAGCTGCCTCAAATCCTTCAGGAGTGTGCAACTTCAACTTTCAGTCCTGTAACCCTGGCGATAATGTGCTGCAGCACAGCAACATTAGTAATAAATCCTTCATTAGTGATCAGAGTGGAGCTTCCTGTCTTCACACTCCACTCTGGCTAATGGCAGTTTCCTTAAGTGCTTCACGGAAAAAACCTTAGTTTCCGCAGCAGCAAGTAGAAGTATGCTTCTTGTCTCCACAGAGGAACATCACTCTATTCCTGACATCGGTCGGTACTCCCTTAAAGTCAGGACCGGCCCAATCCTCCATGGGGCCCTAAGCAAAATTTGGTTTTGGGATCCTCTAGTTTTGCTAACAATAAAAGGACAAATTAAAATCTTGTCAAATTCTGGGGGACCATGTTAGTCCACATAGCTTACATTGGAAACTCTTCTTAGGGAAATATGCAGCATAATACTTGCACCTGTATTTAAAAAAGGACTGGGAGCAGTTTTGAAACAATTCATTATAGACCACCATAACTTATTAAAAACATTGTACCCAAAGAGGCTCTTAATCCCAAAGCACCATTTCATGATTCACTATAGAAGAATAGTTGTAATGTTTGGACCTCTTGTCAAGTTGTGGTGCGTGAGGTTTGAAGGTAAACGCTGTCCTTTGAAATTTCAAGCATAAGTAGTCTGCAACTTTGGGAACATTTCCAAAACACTGGATTACAAGAATCAAACACATGCAAACATGTGTGTTTGACTTAGGCACTGCTTCTCCTGGACAATTTTCAGATTTTCAGCTTGAAGTTCCATTTGAAGAATGGATTAAATTTATACCAGAAAAAAGTAAAATACAATGACAAGTTTTTGTCATCTGGCAAAATGGAGAACACAATTTAAAAACCTGGCACTTGGAGTCATATAGTTAATGATCTGGTCTGGAAAAAGGTGAAAAGCACATGGACATTTGTATTCCATAGAGCAGGGGTTTATCCAACTGTCACTTGTACCTACATAGATATCAAAGGCCTCTATAAAGACTATCAAAGCCATGTTAAATTACATATGACAGAGAGCCAATAGTCAATAGCCCAATGGTGCTCCAGTGTTCCATCGAAGACGCTGATATGTCCCTGTACACTGACCAGTCCAAGAAACTCGTGTCAGGAACCCTTTGTGCACAGGTTTCAAAAGAGCTGTGTGAAAGCAGGGTGGAACCTGCTGTATGGAGGTCAGCAAAGACATCAGATTTGATGGATATTGGAGAACTTGAACCGAGTCACATTCCAAACTTGGCAACCCTATGAAAAACCAAATAGGAAACAAAAGATTTGCATCAGGTGACAAAGAACCCTCTCTATCTTTGCAGTTATTAAAGTATAGCACACCTAATAGTGGCAGTATAAGAGATATTGCTCTTGATAAATTATTATGTCACTATTGCAGTCCAACTCAGATATATGTGTATGAGGCACTGACCAGAAAATGTCCCTCAGTAGTTTGCGTTGATGCAGCTGGCTCAGTTGTCAGAATATATTCTCCAAATGGTACATTTGGCCACATTTTCTGGCACTTGGAGTCATATAGTTAACAAAAGTTAACTATATGCAAAGTTTGTTCTCTTCTTATATCAAGGTGTTCTGAGGGGAGACAACTGCTCAGTCCCTGTGGTGCAAATGTTATCAGAAAGGCATGACAGTAATGCAATAGTAATGTGACTGACAGAATGGCTTCATGCAGGTGCAGCTGTACCAGAGGCATCTGTCTCCCCTAGCTATTCATGACCTGGCATCCTTGTCATTCTTGCATAGGCCTTCGCTGAAACAAAGTTTGTTCTCTTTCACGAAGATGTCATTTTTTTGCACTTCTTTAGATGAAACAGGGAAAACAGGATGGATATTGAGTTTTATATTATGACAAGCTGATCTTTTAATCTTCTACACTTAGAAAAAGGGTCCACTTGGGGAACTATTATCCATCAAATAACTACTCAAAATCAGCTATGCCATTCTTTGCCATTAAGTTTTTCACTTTCGTAAAAAACTTGATTTAAAATGTGAAATATAAACCTATCAGTCAAAAGAAAGTGATCATTTTGTTAAGAGTGGAACTCTTAACAAAATAATCCTTGAAGGTGTGTTGTGACATCTGGCTCCTTGATATTACCAATCGGTGTTTCTTATCCACTCATCAATCCATATGATATAAAAGAAAACGTGAGTGGTTGCACTGTAAAATGTGTTTGTTTGCTTCTCGAATGTGCACCTTTTACTGGTGATGTCTGCAAGAAGCAGACACCAGCCACCCTGGCAATACTGAGTGCTGGGATGAAAGAAAAAAAACTCAAAGTCTAACGGTCAAAGTTTGTGACCCAGACATATGGGAACTGCGCTTGAAAACTCACATGCAGAAAAACAGGAGACTTCTTTGTATAGAAAAGATTTATGACTGTGTGTTAGCAGCTGTTTTTTTTTGTCCCTCCCCCTTCAGCAGCTGCTAATCATGAAACAAGGGTTCCCCAGTTTTCAAATAAAAAAAGAGAAGAAAGAGAGAGAGCTCAGAGTAAGTTTGGAGACTGGAATAAACACAATCTCCATTCTTTCTCTCCTCAAGTAACACATTTAATTCACTTGTTTCTTTTTCCTTTGACTGTGTCTGTGTGAAGGTGCTGACACTGTATTAGACTAATATAATGTGATCTTTAGGTTTTATGTTTTTTTGTTCTTAGACTTAGACTTAGACTTAGACTTGACTTTATTGATCCCTTGGGAAGACTCCCTCAGGAAATTATAGTCAAAGATCAAATGAGTTTTGTTTGTTGTTTCCTTGATAATACATTTAAATTTCAATATGTCTTCAGGGAATTGAAGTAGAAGGTTGATGGATGAAGAAAACCTGAGATCATCTCACTTTCCCATGCTGGGGATTTTAGTCTAACAATAAAAGTAATATTAAAGAAAGTTACCTTTAAAATTAATCACACAAGTGACATCTAGACCCAACAGTAGACTTAAACTTCAATAAAATAAATCTGGTTGTGTGTGTTGTTTTTGTCTCCTGCAAACTTTCCTTTAATTGTACTTCTTTTTTCTATCTGATGATAAGAAATCATAGTCAGAGAAAGATGAGATAGGAAGAGCAGGAAAAAAGAGGAAGTAAGTTTCCATCCTGCAGATTTATAAAAATAGTTTATTCTATTTCTTATTTTAAAGGATGAAAGTTTTAAAGAATGAAATCTAAACATTTCAAGTAATTGGATAAAATTCAAAGTAAAATATTTATATTAATATTGGTTTACTTGCAAGAATACTTACACTTATACTTGTGGGAACACTTACAAATAAAACAAGTAACTGTAACTTTGGTATCAGATAATTACAAAAATCAATTAATCTTGGTTTCTTTTCAAAGAAACCATGACCATCTGTAATAACTCACATTAAGATTATAATAAGAGTGTCTCATAAGTTATGGTTATCATAATATTATAAATGCATGCTAAGTCAAAAAAACTTAAAAAGGGTAGGGATGTGATTTTGAGATTAAACGTGTGAAACGTGTAAGTGCAATTAAAGATTACTGATGTTATGTTGGTGGTAGATGGTAGGTGACAGATTATTGGAAAAAACAGAACTAACAGGAGGGCAGAGATGATCAACGCCTTATTTGGAAACAGATTGTTAAACAACTTATACTTTTCAAAGAAAACGTTGTGCAGGCAACCGACGTAGGAAGACCACTGAGCAACCCTGGTTCAGTAGAACAGACATCAGGACATAATGTCTCTGAGACAATGATGGATATGAGATCATCTATCCAAGCAGTCAGCCAATGAAACAAGCATAACAGTTTTAGCCAATGCAAATGCAGTGAAAGGGTGAATAAACCCTATAAAAGGTGCGTGCAAAAGAGGAACCTTTTGTTGGATCCTCCAGGCAGCTTCAAGCCAAGATCAAGATGGCCAAAGAACTCTTTTGAAGAAGAGCCAGGGCCACAGAGCCAAAGACTGTCCTGCGCATGGGGACCAATCCGTCAGCCCTGCAACATGTGACTTCAAATCGCACTTCTCTCATCGGCTGGGTTCAGATCCCAAAAATGAAGGCAAAGACAAAGATGAAGATAAATTCAAAGATGAAGACAAAGATAAAGACCAAGACAAAGAGCAAAGGCAAAGAAGAACTAGTGCCTTCCCTGCATGAGGTCGGCTCGTCTACTTCTCAACAAACCAGAAAGATTGTGAGACAAGATGAAGAGAGCGTCAGAGCTGCAAGACAAGAAGCTGAGGAACGCTACACACATGAGGAAGTCATCCTAAGACCCGAGACTTGCTGCTCCAAGTGAGTACTCTTCCTGCCAGCACCCAAGTCCTGTGTGACCTCACCATCCATGCAGAGACGAAAGCTCATCAGACCAACAGAGATTCCTACCTTCGTTGATCAACCTCCTCCTCCTCCTGCTGCAACACCTTCTTCGTCATCAGGCCAGTTCTGAGATTCAAAAATCCCATGCTCTGTCCGTCTCTCTCAAAGGTTCCCTTTTTAATTCTTGGTGTCAGCGTTAGGGAAAGATAGGCTAGATTGATTTTACTTATTTGATTATTTCTGCTACTGAATTAAGCTTTTTAACTGACCCTTGCAAAATTGCTTTACTAATAAAATATTTAGCATAAAGAAAATCTAAAAGATGTTGTGGACATTCAATCAATGAGTCACCTCAAAGTTCTTTGATGGTTGTAAAATAGCTATGATGTTTGATTCTGGGGAAGAAAAAATACATTTTTTATAGGTTCCTTTTATCCCAAAACTATATGTACAACAACATCCTTGGGACTCGCCCGAGTCACTAAAACCAACCTGGTTCAGTAACAATTGCAAGTTGTAATATAGAGAACTTGCAATTGGGCACACTAGTTTCACAGGTGTGCCCTGTGAAACTAGTTGACTGCAGGCTGCTCAGTCTGGCTAATTCACAGGGGTAAGAAGGGTAGGACATCTGGATGGAAGTCGTCAGAAACCAGGGAAGCTGGTTTCTCAACACCAGCTTAAACAGAGTTCTTAAACTTCAGTTCTGGACAGGGTAAATCCCAGCAGATTTAGGAAACTTATTTCAGCCGTTAGATGGAGAGCTGGGAGCACATCTCCCTCTCAGGAAAGGAAGTAGCAGGGGATGTTGTGCAACAACAAGCCATAGAGAAAGTAAGTAAGTAAGTAAGTAAAGTTTATTTATAAAGTGCTTTTCACATAAAATCACAAAGTGCTGTACAGTGAAAATCAACCTTACAAAACCCTACAAAACACAAAACCACCAGAAGAAACACAACAGAACCAAGAGATAAAAGCCTGGGAAAATACAAATGGAGCTGCAAAGACAAACTGTTCCACAGCCTTGGGGCTACTGACTGAAAGGCCTGGTCCCCTTTAGTTTTTAACCTTATTCGCAAAAGATTCAGACTTTGAGAACAAAGATCACAGACAGCAGAATATTTAGTTAAAACCTGACAAAGATAATCAGGAGCCTGGCCATACAATGCTCTGTATGTAAGCACAATAACTTTAAAATGAGTTCTAAAATCAACTGGGAGCCAGTGTGAAGAATATAGAACAGGAGAGATGTGACGGAACTTAATGGATTTGGTAAAAAAATCTGGCTGCTGAATTCTGTATAGATTGCAAACATGAAATTGAGACTTTATCCAGGCAGGAAAAAAGGGCAGACAAGATGATACAAAAGCATGAATGATTTTCTCTAGGTCAACTCTGGAGACCATTTATCTGATTTTAGAAAGGTTCTTTCAACAAAAGAAACAAGAATGGGAAACAGCCTTAATGTGTTAGTTGAAGCCTAATGATGAGTCAAATGTGACACCTAGATTTTTTACCTTTGATTTTACTAACGGCCAGAAAGATGCAATTGTCTGGCTGATATTGTTGTGTAGGTGACTGGGAGCAAGAAGCATAGTTTCTGTCTTACTGGTGTTTAGAAGCAGACAGTCACCGAAGAGGCAATCACGATACGGGACAAACATTGGATGAGGATGGCCAACCTGTCCATTTGATGTGGTCTAAATGAAAAATACAACTGAATGTTGTCAGTGTAAATATGATAAGAGATATGATAAGAAAGGACTGAAAAATAAAAACAAGTGGAATAATATAAGAAGAAAACGAAAATGGAGCCAAAATTGAGCATTGTGCCACCCCACCAGTTAAAGGGGCATAGTCAGAGAAAAACCTGTCCGTCTTAATGCAGAATGTCCTGTGAGATAAATATGAGGTCAGACAGTCCAAAGCTGAGCCAGAAATACCAGCCAGGACTTTCATCACAGTGATGAACAGGTCCACAGCGGCTTTTGTAAGGAGCAATACTGTCAAGAATGCCAAGCAGTGGTCATTAAAAGAGTCAACCAGAAACTCCACATCATCATCAGGAGGTGCTGTAAATGAAAAGAGGGAAGAAAACTCTGCAACTACAATATTGTCAATAAAGCATCTGCACTTGCTGGCAACTTGAGAAGAAGCCTCCAAATAACAAGACATATTAAAAGAGATAGTCTTATGGTCACTAAAAACAACATATTTCATACTTGTGTTGTTAAGAGTGAGTCCATGAGTAAAAACCAAGTCTAAAGTGTGACCTGCAGTGTGAGTAGGCTCAGTCACATGCTGTGAGAAGTTGAGTCCATAATATTAAGAAAGTTCGTAGTAGAGCGATTTGTAGGATCATCAATGTGAATATTAAAATTCACAGTGATGAAGATCCTATTTTATGAAAGGACAGCAGGACTGAGCCCAGGGAGTGGGTTGTGGATTTCTTCATTGTGTTGCCTAATCCAGCCAACGCAGCATCGCACACTAACACCATCTGTCACCATTCACATCGGGAGCCAGCTGCCGGCAGGGACGACTACTGGGGCGGGTTCTGTCCGACTGGCCTGTTTAAGAGGCCGGGTGCCTTCTGCAGCCCTGGCACTACGCCGGTTGGGTGCAGGTGAAACGCAGAGATCTGATTTTACTGAGCAGATCGCTGCCTGATAGTTCGGTGCGTTGAAAGCGGGAAAGATGCGGAGGAGGGAGCAACTCGGTGATGCGGTGACACATGGCTGCCTGGACGCTCTGACTGCGGTCCCCACGCTTCTTCACTCCAGCGGAACAAGCAAAGGCTGGGCATCGGGGCACTGAATGAGGCTGACAGATCAGGACAGACTGTGACTGGAGCTGTGAGGAGTGAAAACTGCATCGCCTCGGTAAGCTCTGCTACAGCTCCATCTGTTTCTACCTGCAGTACAGCATGTTTACAGCCAACAGCGATCACACTGAGGCACTGTTCAGTGAGCAGCCTCACAGTCTGTCATTTTTCTGAATTTGGGCTCGCATGTAAACAAAAGGGAAATAATCAATCTTTGTTTTTAATAAGAAATTCGATAGATTTGAAGTTGGCGAAGCCTTGTTGAGAGCATAAATATGTCCAAGGTGACTTTCACTGCTTTATTTGGGTTTCTACAGGGAAAACTGAAGTGCATGCTCAAAGATTAACTCATTTCTTTGATTATTTATATTATAGCCTATATTTATACCAGTAAGATTTGAACTTTCTCTAAACGTATTTTTCTTGTAATCACCAAGACTAGGCCACATTTTCTGTTCATAAAACCTTTAAACTACAAAACATCTAACCACAAATTATGATCGCAAATTGTCATTTATCTTTAAAGAAAATACATCAACTTCACAAGATAATACAAGAAAAATTAAAAGTAAATAAATTCACCCTTTCTATTGTACAACAAAGGTTTCGTAAATCAGTAGAATTTGTATTTAAAGCAATTTAAAGCTTTAAGTTTTTAGTTGAGATTTAAAGGAAGTCAGGGTTTCTGCTGTTTTACAGTTTTCTGGAAATTTGTTCCAAAGTTTTGGTGCATAGATGCTGAAAGCTGCTTCTCCTCTCTTGGTTCTGGTTCTGGGGATGCAAAGCAGAACCAGAACCAGAACCTGAGAGTCTGGAAGGTTGATACAACAACAGCAGATCTTTAATGTATTGTGGTGCTAAACCGTTCAGTGATTTATAAACTAACAACAGTATTTTAAAATCTATTCTTTGAGCTACAGGGAGCCAGTGGAGGGACTTTAAAACTGCTGTTATGTCTCTATCTTCCTGGTTTTAGTGAGAACGCGAGCAGCTTTATGCCTATTTAATGCTAAAGTGTTTCTAAAATTAAAGCATTTTTATCAATTCCAGAAGATACTAAGTACTCAGGCTCTTTACAGGCTAAAGTTCCTGTAAAGAAAAGAACAACAGCATGAGGGGTGCGGTGCCTGCCTCCAGGACTTCTGGATGAGAGACAAATGTCTGTTAACTAGCTGGCTGCAAAATGATCATCCACTTTAACAGCTTGCTCTTTGTGTCGCATCATGAAAAGCAAACTGGGTAAAAGTGATGAAATTCTGAACAAAATTGAAAATTAATACACTTAGCACTTCTTTTGGGAGGTTAAATTTATGGATAAAAATTTAAATAACAATATCAAATGTTATTATAACCAGAATCTTAACATTTAAATATGGCAATGGTTAACAATATTTAATTCTATTTATTTTATTACATTAACAATATTTTACTGTAAAGTGAATTAAGTCTACATTTCAAATGTTTGTTAAAATTACAGTATTTCTGATGCAATGTTGCGATGGAAGCTGTTGGTCAGCTCTCAAAAAACAAAAACAAACAAACAAACAAACAAAAACACACACATACAAAAAACCCAATATGGAACTTTGGGGAAAAAAAATAAGTTTTTCAATTTACTTTTTACTAAATACTTTAGGTTATTTCCAAACTCCGTATGATTAACTATACAATGCGTCAGCTACTGGAAGTGAAAACATTTTTGTTTATAATATCAACTGCTTGGGGGGAATGATTGCTGATTTTTAATGTTTTCAAATAAATTAATGTAGAGTAAATTTTATTTTTATGCGCTGCAACAGGTATAGCTTCATCTGCCCATTACAGCACAATAAAGACTCCACGCCTCTGGGAATGAAATGTGTCTCCCCCCTACAGCGTTGCAGAGGATTATTGTCACCGCCGAGCCGCCGTAGCGATGGGAGAAAATATGTCCAAGCGGCTGAAGTTGGTATCAACTACGGAAGCAGAGATGGAAGAGCGTTCTTTCCCTAACCAGTATCCTGACTGGGAGCAGGTCTCAAACGCTGGAGCTGAGCTGGACTCTGACGAGCCGCTGGACGCTGACGGAAAGGTGGGAAGATTAAGGCTTTTGTGTTGATTTTTATCTATCGGTAGCTGCAGTTAGCTTAGCTTCGGCTATGATAACCTCTTCTGGTTGGTTAGTAACCAGTGGTTCCCTTCTTAGAAACGGCTGCTTAGTACAACATGTTATTTTCGAGTGTTCTCATTGGTGAACATTTATCATGTAAATCTTACATAAGTCATATGAAAGTTCAAAACTATTGCTACCTTAAATAAGAATTAAGTAAGGAATTATTTTTTTTTTAAATAATGCACTGTTTAATTAAACAATTTTCAAAATAGATTTACAAAAAGATAGGGCAATTATAACTTCCAAGGAATTGGGAACCTACTATTATCTCTATGTGATCAGAGGGTAGATATAGGTTTATGTTTTTTTTTCTGCTCCTTTTATTCATGATTTGTTTTAGTTGTTACATGAACTATTCATATTTATGGAGAAATGAACATTCATTGTTAAATCTTTTTAGTTGCAGTTTTGAGTTTAGATCCAGTATTTTGCTAATAATACTGAATATAATGACATCCATATTTAATTTAATAGCGTTGATTATGATGATCAACAATCAACTTTTACACTAGGTACAATGCAGTCAGTCTACCGGTGCTGGCTGGTGTGGAAGTTGTCTGCATGCCAGAAAAAACTGGATGATTCCCAGATAATTCCCAGATAATTCCTGGATGATTCGAGCCTCCAACCCCATTTCTTTTCTGTTATCACATGTCATATTTGTAAAACCAATCAACAATCTTTGTGCTAAATGTTAGCATCAGGTAATTGATGTATTGTTGTCTTTTATTTTAAATGGCTCAAGGATCTGGTTTGGAACATTAGATTTTTGTTTTCTTGGGAAATTAAAAAATTGTTGAATATCGTGGCTCAAAACAAAATAACATTTTGTGTACTTTTTAAAATATATAAATGAAGAGTTAAGATAAACTACTTCCAACTTTGATTCCAACTATTCTTTGCTTGGATTAGAAAAGGTGATTTGTGGTGTGTAGGCCTTGAAATCATTATGGTGGGAATGAGGTATGACGTGCTTCACTGACACGGACTTCTTTCATCATTTCATACTTATTATTTTCAGCTATTCTTTACATCCATATCTGGTTTCTTCTGGTGCAATAATGAATCCAGTGGATTTAACAGCTACTGACCAATCATCGGTCACAATTCTTCCTTCAGCAAATGCCTCCTTCTTGGTAGAATTGGTGTCCTGACAACAATGTGACTTTTAGGAATAGTCACAAATTCAACAGGTTCTAGCTTAGGTTCTTGACAAGGTCCATCCAGACACTGAAATGTTATCCTTTTTGTTGACGCCAGAACCTGTTGTAAGCCAGGTGTTCCCATATTTCTATCATCAGCCTCTTTTTGAACTTAAGTTAAAGCATTGAGATGTTGATGTCATATTTTATATCCTCTTTGAAAAATATCTGGATTAGAAAATAAAATTTTAATTAAGTAGAAACTTGAGCATTACTTAAGCAAAACTAAATTTAATGTAAAATTTGGAATTGTGTACTGTGCGCCCAGTTATTAGGCAAGTTGCATTATAAAGAGTGAAATTCTAATTGATCAGCTACTGTGCTCTCAGTGATTTGTTTACTGTGTCTAGTTCTACAGCTCTCCATTCAATTTCTGACTGCACATTAGTGGTCAAGTCAGTGTTCATTTTAATTTATCATATGATAAATAGACATCAGCTGCTACAGTAAGTGTTTACTTTTGTACACCTTTCAGTTGGAAAGTATGCATAAAATAAAAATTAACTGAAGTGCTCAGCTGCCTAATAATATGCACTCAGTGTGTTGTTACAACCTGTCTAGGGGTGGTCAGGTCATAACACGAAGGACCCCCCCTTTCCCAAGCAGCCAACACACACCAAGTTGAACATTTTATAATGTTATTTATTTTTAAAAAGATATATCTTTGATCGATGTTACAATTGGAGTGTATGGCTTCAGAGTGAGCTAATGCCAAAAACAACAAACAAAAGGAAATTATCGGAATAATAATCAACTTACCTAATTGAAAATAAATAAACCAAATGTCAAGAACTTACCTCCTTAACTAAGAAAACAGGAAAGAACTAAGGAAACATAAATGGCAGCTCACTCTTACAAACTCCAAACCTAGGTGTTAACAAACAATCAGTGGCTGGTTGACATGAATAGAAGAGGGATCTCTAGGAAGTCCACGTCAGCAGCTTTTATGCTTGTCACCTCCAGGAGGCCACCAATTGGACGTTTCTCGTCGTCAATCATAGGCAGGCACCTGCACACTCATTTGCATAATTAAATTTAACGACACACCAGTCGTGACAGTGTAATTCTAAACATTACACATTGGAAAACAAGAAAGCACCTATAATCAGCCCTGATTTTGGGTGATCAGAAATCGGCCAAAATGTATCCACCGATCTTATCTAGTCTCTTCATCTATTCCACAAAGGTCTAAGAATCAGCCACCATCAGAGGACCGACGGACAGACCTCCCACCAGTTCATGTCTGCACGTGTATGATTAACAGTCAACCCACTGTTGCCAACTTAGCAACTTTCTTACTAAATGGTTAGGAACCTTACAGACAAAAAAAAATTGGTATCCTCCAAAGAAAAAGTCAGCTGGTCAGTTTAAAAGTTGATGATTGGCCAGAAAACAGCAATCAGTGCACCTCTCGTGCTAAACAACTTATAAAACACAAGTCATAACTGAACTGTACTTGACAGCTTGCAGTATTTCTTTTCTTCTGCTCAGGTTAATGCAGCATTTCTAAGGAAGGTCCAGAGTAAAATCAAAGATCTCCTCCAGCAGATGGAAGAAGGCCTGAAGACCGCCGACCCCCATGACTTCAGCACTTACACTGGCTGGACAGGTCTGTCCCAGATGAACTTCTTTCTGTCAGCAGCCAAAGAGGAGCTGTGGAGAAGGATAACAATATAGAACAATATATCCTAACCAGGAGCAATCCCTGCCAGCTGACCACCAGGCCCACTGCAGCATTGCATTTATTATTGAGAAATGCTTAGTAATAACAATAATAATAATAATGAATTTTATTGAAAATGCATTAAGCTTTTTTTTTTTTTTTTTTTTTTTGCTGAAAAGCAAAGCTCACCTTGAGGTAGTGGACTTATGGAGCTGAAAAGGTCCATTCCCTGATCACTAAGCTCCCTCACTAACATTATTTCTTTGCACAAAATCACAGGAAGAAAATCAAATGACACAACAATACTTTGCATTCAGTAAATGTTTGGTGGAAAAGCTCTGTCATTATCTAAAGGTCAGATTAACTTTAGATCTCCAGGAATAAAGTCAAGATAACACAACCCAACAGAAGACAAGGTTCTCCAACTCAGCTAATGATTGAGACTTTTAATGGCTTGTGGAAGACTATTTACACAAAAACATAATTGTAGAAAAAAAAAAACAGCTTGGCAGCAGCTCAAAAGTTCAAAAAGTTCAAAGTGCAGTCTGTGGATGCTTCCTAAAACAAAATGAAACATTACTTTGTCACCACAGAAATATAAACAAATACCCGTTAGCCAGTAATCATCCTGAAACTCAGTGTTTTTTATTCAGGGCTTAATAGTATTTTCTGCAAAATGAAAGGCTCCGTTAAGCAACCTGTCTTCTTTTAGAATTTATTTCTTCATGCTTATAGTGCATGATAAAGTTCAGTGAGCCTCTGCATCTTTGCTAAACTTATTTTATCTACATGTTTGATAGTAGCTGACCTGCAGGAGATGCAGCAGATTGCTTCACTAGTGTTATTTCTTTATTTTTTATATTAGTTGTTAAGGTCCCTTCATTAAAAAAATGATATTTTAAGCTTTTCTGCTTGTTTTTGTGCAGAAAGTTGTATGAACTCCACAACCCAGGTAGGTCAGAACTGCATGAAGAGCAGCTCTGACCTGCTCTACATGATTATAACACTTTACAGTGTGTCAGCTGTAGAAAATATTCTCCTGTCTCTGCAGGCATTGCCTTATTGTACCTTCAGCTGCATCGTGTCTCCGGTGAGGCTTCCCACCTGCAGAGGGCATTGGACTATGTGAAGAGGGCCATGAGAATTTTGAATGGCCGCAAAGTGACTTTTCTGTGTGGCGATGCAGGACCTCTGGCTGTTGGTGCTGTGGTCCACCACAAACTAAACAACAGTACAGAGAGTAAAGACTGTGTGTCGAGGTGAGTAGTAGAGTATAGCAGAATTCACAACCGGCCCGGTTTAGTCCACTTTAATTAAACTGTCGGTTTGCTGCTCCAAAGGCAGGAAGCACTAGAGTAGGAGTGTCAAACTCATTTTTGTTTTGGGCAAATCAAGATCATGAATTCTCTTAAAGGGCCAGCTGTGAAAGAATCCATTGACAAAATGCCCGATTTTAGATGGGAGAGGTCCGACGTTCTACGTAACACAGCACATAAACAGAATAATTCTACGATTATCACAAGCGACAATCTTAGTACTCGGAACGTTCTAAGATTACGGGAAAATCGGGGGGAAAATTTTTAAATTTTGTTATGCGACCTCCTTCCCACCCGGACCAAGCCTTGACCGGTGATAAAAAGGTTGCTCTCAGTTACGTCTTGTGCGCCAACATTGAGCCTACAAGCAGCAAAATGAGTCAGAAACAGATGTCTTTGTAAAATTTATTTATGAAGGGGAAAAGGCTCAGAGAAGAGACATGACAATGAATTTATCCCAGTAAGTGATTCCCACATTCCAAGCCCACTCTGCATGATATGGTGACCAACTCATTAATGAGGCAATGAAGCCTTCAAAATGCTTCTCCATGTGGAGACAAAGCACCCTGTGCATAAGCAACACTTAGGGTGTCATTGTTTCTCAACACTCCCAGATGAGAGAAACAACCTCAAGGCTCCCATTATTTGTTATTGAGAGTTAAAATTTTCACGAAAGTAAAATGTTCACTTTTGTGAGCCATCTGTATCTTATTTTGAAGGGATATGTAAACGTTACCATAGCAACCAGAGTCAGAGAGCGTTAGGGCAGTGGTCGAGACGAGATGAGAGGAGTAGAGCTTGTCAGCCGACTGGATGACACGAGCCAATAAAAGCCTAATAGGTTCGGTCGGTTTGTGTGTTCAGCCGCAGGAGCAACACACACCACGATAATCGAGCCAAGACAATGTTGAATGTCCCAATGTTAGATCTGGCTTATTCAATGCCAGATCTAACATAATCTTACAAGGTCTGAAGGACCTTGTAAGATTGTCGTAAAGGAAAAATAGGGGCCATAAAAAAAACACAAAACGGCTATAGCAGGAACACCATACAGAAGCATTATCTGACCTGAACTCCCCACCCTCCACCTGATCCCCTGTTTGGTCCCCTGGACCGCAGCAAAATTGCCAAGTTGGGGATCACTGCGTTAGACTATCTATGTGACAGTTCACTATGTGGTTACTTTAATGAGCTGCATAATTTATCCACAACAGAAGGAATTAAATTTTCTCCTCATTATCTGCCTGCATTAAAATCTTTGCATATATTTTAGAGTGGCTTTACTGGCCTTGATTTGAGAGTGGTCAGACAAGACAGTAGGTAATGAGAGAGGGGGAAGACATGCAGTAAGGGTAATCAGGCCGGGAATTGAACCTGTGACAGCCGCGTCGAGGACTAAGGCCTGCACATATGAGGTTGTACTTTAACCCCTGCATCTTAAATATATTTCACAAAATATTATGATTGTCTTTGTTCTAACTAGACATGTTAAACAGATAGGACAAATATTATCATACACACTTATCCCTAGTGGGGTCTCCAGGTTGCTGGTGCCCATCTCCAGAGGTCAATGGAGACAGAGGCGGGGTCACCTGGACAGGTCACCAGTCCATGACAGGGCAACATAAAACAATTTTGCTACATTTTTCATCATAATTTTAGAAAACCTACAGGAACTATTATTAAAAATATCTTACATTTCTAATATTATGGCAAACACTGGTTCTGATTTCACACAGCCCTTGTTCAAATGTCAAAATAGTGAATATGTTTTCATGGAGTTTTATGCTTAATACTAAATGGACGCATTTTGTTTTTATATAGTTTTCTCCCACATTAAAAGCTGATCAAAGCATTTGGATTTCCTCCAGGCTCCTCCAGCTGCAACGCTCAGTCGTCAGTCCAGACAATGAGATGCCTGATGAACTGCTGTTTGGTCGGACTGGATATTTGTTTGCGCTACTGTACGTTAATAAAGAAATTGGGGATGATGTTGTGGATGAGGCAACAATTACCAAGGTGAGCCCCACTCACTATTGGAGAGATTATGATTTGCACTTATCTTGCACACATGCAACTGTGTTTCAGGAATGATACCTTGTATGAATTTGCAAATTTAAGAATTTACATATTCTTAGATGTGAATATATAAATAAAAAAAATTCCCTTCTCACCCACCGCGGTGGTTCTGCGCAGTATCTTGGCTGTGCCAAGGACTGCACATTTCTGGACTGAGATGTCTGATGTTGTTCCTGGGATCTGTTGTAGCCACTGCTCCAGTTTGGGGGTTACTGCCACACTATGCCTGCCACACTATGCCTGCCACTTGGTTATGTCGTTCCATGTACGCTTTCCCTGCCAGTATCTTGCACCCTGCTGTGATGTGCTGGACTGTCTCAGGGGCCTCCTTGCACAACCTACACCTTGGGTCTTGTCTGGTGTGGTAGATCTGGGCCTCTATTGCTCTGGTGTTTAGGGCCTGTTCCTGGGCGGCCAGGATGAGGGCCTCTGTGTTGTCCTTGAGTCCAGCTTTTTCCAGCCATTGATAGGATTTACTGATATCAGCCAATTGGGTTATTTGCTGGTGGTACATCCTATGTAGGGGCTTGTCCTCCCATGATGGTATCTCTGGCACCTCAACCTCCGTTCCCTGTTGTCTGAGACATTCACTGAGCACATTGTTTGTTGAGGCTTTGTCCCTGATGTATTTATGTATCTTAGTTGTTTCATCCTGGACAGTGGTTCTCACACTCACTAGTCCTCTGCCTCCTTCCTTGCGGCTCGTGTACAGTCTCAGGGTGCTGGATTTGGGATGGAACCCTCCATGCATGGTTAGTAGCTTTCTAGTCTTAATATCTGTGGCTTTTATCTCCTCCTTTGGCCAGCTAATTATTCCAGCAGGGTATCTGATTACTGGCAGGGCATAGCTGTTTATCGCACAGATTTTGTTCTTGCCATTTTTGAGTCGGTATCCGTAGCCAGTCTTGTTGATAATTTGGCAGAGGAGGTTCAGGCCTATGCAGAACAGTAGAGGGGACAGAGCATCTCCTTGGTATATGCCACATTTGATGGACACTTGTGCAAGTGGTTTGCAGTTGGCTTCAAGGGTGGTTTTCCACAGCCTCATCGAGTTTGCAATGAAGGCTCTCAGAGTCCTGTTGATGTTATACATCTCTAAGCATTCAATAATCCAAGTATGCGGCATTGAGTCATAGGCTTTCTTGTAATCGATCCAAGCCATGCACAGGTTGGTGTGTCGGGTTTTGCAGTCTCTGGCAACTGTGTGGTCTACGAGGAGTAGGATTAGGATTGACGGCCTTCAGTTAACCATTCAGGGGGAGTCCCACTTTGTAGCATCTGGTTCATTTGGGCTGCCAGTCGCTCATGGAGAGCAGTGATTTTATTTAGCCAGTAGGCATGGATTATGTCAGGTCCTGCTGCTGTCCAGTTTTTCATACCTGAGACTCTTTCTTGGACATTTGTCACAGTGATGGTTACCGGGGCTTGTTTAGGGAGGTTGCTGTGGTCCTCTCGTAGAGAGATCAACCACTGTGCATTGCTGTTGTGGGACGCCTCCCTTTCCCATATGCCTTTCCAGTATTGTTCAGTCTCCAGCCTTGGTGGGTCTGCTCTGTGTTATTACCCTGCCATTGAGAGTACACCTTAGCTGGTTGAGTGGAGAAGAGACGGTTAATCGTTCTGGCTTCATTCTCCCTTGTGTATCTCTTTAGGCGGCTGGCCAAGGCTTGGAGCCTCTGTTTAGCAGTTTCAAGTGCTTCAGGTATGGGCATCTGCCTGTACTTTCTGGGTACTGGTCTTTTCATTGTACCCTTGTGGAGCTCTGATAGTTGGCTCACTTCCCTCCTTGTTACAGTGATTTTAACCTCTAACAGTCTTTTCCATGGTGGGTTTTGGGTCTCATGGTTGCTCTTATAGCCAAGCATCTCAAGGATCACTGATGCTGAGTTGTAGATCAGCTCATTGGTTTCTGTTATGGTGTTCGTAGGAATCATTCTCAATGCTGCATTCACATTTTCAATGAGACTTTCTGATGGTACTTCACTCAGCTGTTGTAATTGGCGCCGAGGAGGTCTGGTTGTCATTCAATGAAAATAACTCTAAACCAGTCCTAACTTTAAAGAAATACACTCTATACATTGCTAATGTGGTAAATGACTATTCTAGCTAAAAATGTCTGGTTTTTGGTGCAATATCTACATAGATGTATAGAGGCCCATTTCCAGCAACTATCACTCCAGTATTCTAACGGTACAATGTGATTGCTCATTGGCTCAGAAGGCTAATTGATGTTGAGAAAACCCTTGTGCAACCATGTGCACACATCTGAAAACAGTTTAGCTCCTCACAGAAGCTACTGTACTGAATGGGGTGACCCCAAACTTTTGAACTGTAGTGTATATATATAGTGTGTGTGTGTGTGAAGAGATACACTTGGATCATTGTCCATCGTCTCCTAACTGTAGGTGGTGACAGCCATCGTGGAATCAGGAAAGAACATGTCAGCTGAGGAGAACAAGACGGATCGCTGCCCTCTCCTCTATGAATGGCATAAAAAGCAGTATGTTGGCGCTGCCCATGGTCTTACTGGCATCTTTTACATTCTGATGCAGGTAGGAGAAACCTCCAACCATTGCTGCTCAGCTGGTTGTACATTTTCAGAAGATATATAAATTCTAAGGTAAAATCTGAAAGTAATTGACCTGCTCACAAGTCAACGGGTCAGGTGTAGTTTAGTGAAAGGAGTTAGACATTGAGACCATTTCCATATTGCATGAATGACCTATGAGTTATTGGTTATTGGTTATAGTACTGAGAGGAGTACTGGTCCTCCTCTCAGTACTGGTCCTGTTGCATTCTAGTCTGCTGAAGGGACTTCTGGTTTTATTGGAAGTCTGTTTAAGAGGGGAATGGTGATAGTAAATAATCACATGATGAAAAAGGCTCATTAGGACTTTTGACCTAACCGTTTTAATCTTGTTTTGCTTTTTCAGCAAATCAGTGCACAAATATTACAGTAGGCATTTCATACAATCAATACCACAAGCTGCGTGCCAAATATTGTTATTCATAAGAGTTTGAGACATTTTTGGAACATTAACAGAAATCATAAACCTGCTTAATTTGATTCATAATAGTATTGTCTATACAGCTGAAGGATTAAGATATAATTTTTTCATGTCATTTGCATTTCCATAACTAGGTTTCACAAATCAGTTAGATCTATGTCTGCCATTACCTGTTCTGTTATCCTCCTGTGTAACCATGGAAATGGATGAACAGTGACCTGAGTGTTTCTCTGTTCAGCCCGGAGCCAGGCTCCACCCAACCATGCTGGCGGAGCTGGTCCGCCCCAGCATCGACTACATTCGGCACAAGAGGTTTCGATCCGGGAACTTCCCATCGTCGCTAAGCAATGAGAGTGACCGGTTGGTACACTGGTGTCATGGAGCTCCGGGTGTCATCCACATCCTCATTATGGCCTACAAGGTGAGCTCTGTCTATCGCAAGCACAACCCTGACTCCTCATCGCTCTGTAGGAACAGTGTTACATCCAACGTCATTTCATCAATTTTAACTTCTGAAGCTTCTTCAAGCACTTTTACAGCTGAGAAAGTGAAAGTCTGACTGCAGAGTGAGCCTGTTGTCAGGGGATACTCTGCAGGCTGCTGTCTGCTTGTTGGTCCATTCTGGCATACTCACTCCATTCACTAATGTGAAGTGCTGTTCTGCCCAGCACAGAGGGAAAGGCTCAATAGCAGACTAGATTTCTATGAATGCTTTGCTTGCGACATCAGCATATAACAGCTCAAGCTTTTGTTTTACTATGTGCAGGATGGAAACCACTGACTATTTTACCAGATAAACATCTCAGGTCAGCTTTAGCAGCTGTTGTTGGCACCAGTATGATTTAGTAACAAACTGTAATTATAAATTAGAAATTATGAAGTGGAATGATTAGTTCCCAAACATCTGTGTATTCATTACATTGTGTGAATAACATCATATGTTCACTGATGACTAAAACACAGTGGGCAGCAGGTGGACTGCCCTGGTGCACAGACCACCAGGCTCAGCAGGTTTTCTGTCAAGACAAATCCTGGCTTATAGAATCATGGCAGACAACGTTATTTCTGCACAATTCAACTTTCAATGTCAAGAAATCCAGCATGATTCTGGTAAAGCACAGAGCACCAGTGGAGAGAAACAACTTCCTCTTAACAGAAAGGATGAGAACCTGACCCAGGATTACCAGCTTGGTCACCTGGGTTTTAGGAGACAGATAAACAGAGACATGGGGAGAAAAGAATCATTGGACTGTAAGTACTTTTACATGGAAATTAAAAAAACAAAACCTTTGGCAATAATTTTTGCAAATGATGGATAAATGGAGAGGAGCACAACAAAGCTAGTAACTACTGTAGGTGTTCTCTTTATTAGACAACTTTAAGCTGCCAGACAAAAACTGTCAAACAGACTCTTCATTATTTTGAATCAATGGTAATCTTGTTTCAAGTCCATGTCCAGCATTTACCTAAAGTCCATGAATCTTCACTTCTGTCATTTCGTTTCACTGCAAAGGCTTGTTGAGCACTTCAGAGGAGAATAAAAAGTCATAAATACCACAGTCTTTAAATATGAAGTAATGCAGCTCTGAGGACAAAGTGTGTAAACCTGGGTGTATAAGATAACTGTCATAAGACAAAAACTGAGCTGAGAGACCAAGAAAAGGTGCAGATACAGACATATTTCACACATTGTTAATCTCCTGACATTGAAACTTGTACTTTCAAGTTTAAAATGAATATTATTTCTGACTGTAATCTGATGTGTTTTGTACAGCAAGCATGTGAAAACAGCAAATAATTCTTTGACAGAATCCTGAAGTTTGGAGCGCTGCTGTTCTTTCCTCATCACAGGATCCCAGTTTGGGACTGCATAGGAAACCTTTTTCACAGTATTCTAATTTTCTGAGACATTGACAGTTTGGTTTTCATTACCCATGAATTATAATAAGAATTACAAGAAACCAAGGCTTTAAATATATCACTGTGTCTGATGATTCACTTCCTCAGATGACTGGCAAAAAATATAGCACCTCTATGCAATGTTCCACAAGCAAATGCATGTACTGATGTATGAAAATGAGAGGTGGTTTAGTTTACTGTGAGCTCATTGCTCTTCTATCCTCCAGAGAGAAGGGGAACACTGCCAGCCCGGCAGGAAGATGTCATCAAACAGTTGGTTCAACTAAATGGTGGTTCCTCTCTGCATTGGGTTGAAGCGGTCATGATGAACTCATGTTCCTTCTCCCTGACTGTGTCCTGCAGATGTTCAAAGAGGAGAAATACCTGAAGGAGGCAGTAGACTGTGCTGAGGTCATCTGGCAGCGGGGCTTGCTAAGGAAAGGCTACGGTATCTGCCATGGGACTGCTGGCAACGGCTATGCCTTCTTAACCCTATATAAACTCACACAGGAGAAAAAGTACTTGTATCGAGCGTGCAAGGTAAGGCAGGGCCTCAGGAACTGAGCTAAGTTTGTGACTGGTTTTGGACCAGCTCTTGACATGGTGGTGTGATTGCTTTTTTCCAGTTTGCTGAGTGGTGCTTGGACTATGGGACTCATGGCTGTCGCATCCCAGACAGACCATACTCTTTGTTTGAAGGTACAACATCTTGTCTCCTTATGTTTACCTCACAAACTGCTTTGGTGTTGTTCCTCCAGGCCTAGAATCAGGCCTGGAGGCCATCAGGCTGTAGTATCAGCCTGATGGACCACCAGGCTTTACTTGCCTCCCAAATAAAGCCAAGTGTGGTTTGTTTATTTTAAATAGCTTTTTTTTAATAAACCAGTAACAGTAAAGATGGATTATAGGTTTATAGTGAACTTATTGAACTGGGTGTGAGGAGGCTGACATCAATTGCTCCATCCCTGCACCTGCTCATTGGCCTCATGCTATTATTTTGAAATTATGATGCCTGCTCCTCCACCTCTGAATTTTTGTGACTTTTAGCATTTTTCATCATATAAATGTGGTGAGTCACTGGTGGACTGTCCTGGTGCCCCTACCAGCAGGCTCAGCAGGGTTTCTGGGGGAATCCCTGTGGGATCATGTCTTCCTGACCACTGTCATAGACTTGGCAACACTTGATCAACTGTATCTTCCTGAACTTCAGTACTAAAAAGGGAACAGAACAGGAAATGTCTTGCCTTTAAAATGAAATCCCTACCCAGACTATGTGAAATATCACTCTTACCTGTTTTGCAATAGGATTAGTTGTCAAAGAGTAAAACCCTTGCAGAAACCAACCAGATGGACAGAGTTTCTTGACTACAGATCAGTAACTTTGTTTTATTTCTGGCAGTCTACAGCCAGAAATAGACTTAGACTTAGAGATTTAGACTTCCTTTATTGTCATTGTACAAAAAAAACACAAGGTGAATCTTGACAACGAAATGTCGTTACTTGGCTACCAGTGTAGCAGAGCTAAAACATTATACTACCCAATAAATAAATACAATACAATACAAGTGCCATAGAATACACAGGTTCAGTGTTGTAACACAGGTTCAGTGTTGTGTACGGGAAACTCTGTTTTAGCTGCCGAATGTGGCATAAGGTTTACAATGCTAACCGGACCCGAAGTAGCCGCAGCCGAGCAGGGCGCCGCCATCTTGTCATATAAATAAGGGAGGAATGAAGTGTTAGAGCACTTCATTCCTCCCTTTTCCCATAGTTCTTATGGATTTGGATTTTCAGCAGGACTTAGCCACTCCCAACACTGCCTAGTATCAACACTTTCTTTAATGGTCATGGATTCAATGTGGCAAATTTGCCTGGAAACTAATTTTGCTTTGGCTTATCAACGATGTAGACAAGCCAAAGCAACTTGAGTTTCCTTAACACCTCAACGGCTCAGCAGTCTGACTAGCTCACCTGTTTTCTACTGAGCACTGCTTCTTCAATAATTTTGCTGATGAATGTAAGTTCAGAGATTGACTTGTAACTCTGCAATAGTGATTTGCCCAGATTGTTCTTTTCTGATCAGATACAATGACAGGCAGAACTCTGGTCGAGATGTGAAGACAGGTAGAGCTTTCACTGCTGTATAAACAGAGTGAGAAATGATGATGATGATGACGATGATGATCTGGTTGTATTTTTCTTCTCAGGTATGGCAGGAACCATCCACTACCTGTCGGAGATGGCTAACCCTGAAGCCTCCAGCTTCCCTGCCTTTGAGCTTTAACTGTCCAGCTGATGAGGCTGAGGATCGGGGGCACAGCAGGAGATGGGGGAGGGCTTGGGGAGGTGTTAGTATTTGAACAACTTTGTTGTTGCTTTGGACAGAACAGTCCTGTTGGCAGCTGAATTTCAGTGAAATCAATTTGTTTCTGAAAAATTCCTGGTTTAACAGCATGATGATTGTTGTTGCTTAGGAGGAGGAGGGGAATAGGAGGGGGGATTTCTGTCACAGATTATCATTCTGTGGATCAGCAACAGGAAAGTTTCTGGAAATCTGTATGTTGCTACTCCCTCTCGTCCGGTGGTGTTTTGGACTCCAATAAAGAACCTTCTCACTCAGAACGATTCATTGTCCTCCACCCATCGCACAGAGAATGAGGTGTTATACTGTTCAGGTGTTAAAATGTCTTTGCATGTTCATTATTGCAGCTCCTGATGTCTCATGTTCTGTCCGTAGTGTTTAAAAGGATCCATTCATGTGTGTCAAAATGTACTGAAGTGTCATCTTTGATTTCATAATTGTAAACAATATATGTGGATTGAAGAATCAATATGAGTGTGTTTTCCTGTGCTTGCTGCACTGATGCTGCCGTGGGAACTGGTTCCCCAGGCAACAGCCAGGCTTTCCATCATGCCAGGCGGAAGAATGGCTGGATATCATGGAAAGCATTTTCATGTTTGGTGTGTCTGCAGCTTGTCTGCACCATAGTGGTGTTTCAACATACGCCATATTCCAGTGTTGACCTCCTTTACTTTATGATAATGCTCCAATATATGCCTCATATCCATATGCTTCTAAAAAAGCATATGGATATGACTCCAGTTTTCCTTGAGGTCTGACCAATTCCAATTTACACAGATTCAGATATCTTTTCCTAAGGACTATAATGCAAAAAAGAAGACGAAAGTATGGAACATAACAAGGATGAATGAATTAGATTAAGCAGTATTCATGAACTCTTTATGCCCATAACTTTATTATTGTTATTTAGCAAAAAGTGTATCAAAGTCCTTGCTGATGGAGATATGGAATGACAAAGTGAGAATATCTTATTTTTAATGAATAGATGTCCAATTATAAACAAAGTTGGTTAGGAAAAATATGGCCAGTTCTAATTGCTGATTGATTGATAAACATCTCCAAGTCTGGAATAGATTTGTCTTACTCTCTAAAGTTTAAATTCATATCAAGATAAATGCAATGAACACCAAACGTTGTTATGGTTGTGAGAAATTCAACATGTGGATTATTTGCACCCTCCACTGGCCAATTGCGGGTAAAGTATGAAGTGGCGTGTAAATTGGACCAACAGAACAATTTATTAATTTAATTTTTTGTTCATAGAAATAAAAAAAAATGCAATTACATGGTATTTTTTGATTAGTCTGGATTGCTTTATGTGTATTTTGCATGTCGCCTATGCGGAAGAGATATTTCAGTAATCTAAAACTAATAGGAAAAAAATTAAGCAACCTACTTCCATACTGTATGTAGACTGTTGGATGTAAAATTCATGAGCAGTAACTATTGTGCTAGTATTGGACCAAAGAAAATCTTATCTTGAAAGCAGGAAGGAGGAAACAGAAATTAAATTCTGCACACAGGCAGTTTCACAAGTAAGGAGTATTCTGGTAGATAGGAAAGCAGCTGTAAAAACATGTTCAAGGTCAAGGGAAAAGCAAGTTTTGTCTTTACACACAGTTCATCATGTTCTTTCTCCAGAGGTCGAGAAAGAACTTTAAATAAAAAACAAACTGATTCACACGTTGCAACAATTATTCATTCAGGCTTAATTATTAAGGAATATAGTTTATCTAAATGTCTGCTTCCAAATAAGGTTAGCTTTCCTTGTAAATACCAGCTCTACTGTATCTCATTCAGTTTTCAAAGTTGTTTAAATATATTAGAAACAGAAAATGCAAGTATTTATCCTTTTTACATTTCTTTCAGCTCTAATAACTTCCTGGAAGGTCCCTACCTACCTCTTACGGTTAGGGTTGGGCCTCCTACACTCAGCTGAGCGTAGGAGGCTCAGCTGAGCTTGTGCCTGTGTGATACTGCCTAGTGTTCTCCTGCTAATAATAATGATAATACAGACCTTTGGGCACTTAAATAACTTAAAAGCAACATAATATGTAGGAGAAGACATACAATAGAGAAACCCTTCAGCTGTGAGTTTGACCCAACCTGTTCTGTCCCCCAGTGTTTAAGGCCGACGCTCTCCTAGCCTGGATGCTCTCGAGATCATCCTATAAACTTGAAAACAGTGTCTCTGTTTCCATCAGATGGATGGATGGATATGTTAAACTTATGTCCATTTGGTCATGTTGCACAGATGGTAAATATTAATGGCAGCTCTATTTCTTACATTCCTCTTGATACCTATATTGCTGTCTTTTTAAAACATTGTCATGAGGTAAACTGTAAAGTTTTCCCTTTCCTTTTTTAAAAATATTTTTGTTCACTTCTCAGCACCAAAGGAAAGTGCCAGGGGCCAAGCTGTTTTTCTGTTGAGGGTGCTGAAGACCAAAAAGTCAAGTGAAAGTAGGAAGGGACAAAAGGTTTTATTGAACTCACAAACTGGCCTAATTTATAATTCACACCTTCTCTCTTTAAATGGCCGCTCCACCCTATAAACTCCCACCCTCCTCAGGGGCTTGATAAGAGAACTCCATCCTAAGCTTTAGTTTTTTGTTTAAGAAAACTAGGAAAGAAAGCATCAAGCTGCACTAGATCAAGGAACTGGATTACAGTTTCTATTAATTGCTGCTCAAATCAACAAGTTTCTTGTATTATTTCCCTGAACAGAGAATCAAATGGATAATATGACAGGAAGACAGAACCACTCCATCCAAATGATACTCGAGTGAAAATGAGTTCAACCACACCTTGAACGGCACTGTTATTACCACTAGAATGTCTTTAGATGACAATGTTGGTCACCAACTACCACATCAAGTCATCATATAACTGCTGAAAACAAAGAAAATACATCGATAACTTACTGATAAAGAAGCTCATAAAATGCTGGGAACCTGTATCATCTTTCCATTTTTTTTTTAATGTTTTTTGGTGGAAAGGGGTCAGTTTCTGCAACATTTTAATCAATAGTAACTGTCCATGACTTTCTCTGCCCAGATGCAGTGAGATAAGTTCCAGTCAGGGTGTGTGTTAATATAAACTTGAACAGAACCAGAGTGCGTAGTTCTATTGTGCTTATTTTCAACTACAGATCTGTGTTATTAACTCTTCACACACAGTCAGTTAACATGAACCTGCAAACAGCAGACCGGTCCTTGCACTTTGTCTCCATCACCCTGCTTCCCTTCTCATGTTCCACCTGGTTAGCTCTTGTCATTTTGGACGATTTTTTCATAAGGTGGCGGTGGGTGGTTGCAGTAGGATGGAGGTGGCGGGTAGGACCACATCATCATCTGGGTGGAGCCCGGCTGTGAGCGATACGCAACCTGGGTCAATGTCATCCCAGGGTCACCTCCAGCCATCCCGTTCACCCCAAAGCCTTGTATGCTGCCTGGCTGCTGGAAAACTGCAAATACACACACGCACACACACATGCACGCATGCGCACATGTGATGTTATATAGTGAAAGCTTCTGCAATCACAACAGAGGCTCAGATGTCTTTGCTAAACATTTTGTATTCAGTTTTTATTGAACAAACAACAGACAAACAAACAACTACAAAAGTTATTTGCAGCATAGCAGCTGAAAACAACAAGACAAAATACAAAGCCAGATCCTGTTAAGTATTTTTCAAAATAAAACATTTCCCTGCTCAGCATAAATGTAATCACTGGAATCCCACAGAAGAACGTGGGAATGTTTTTAAAGCTATTCAGCTTCTCCAAGGTTATCAGTGGTACTTGTCCTTTTTCATGTCAACACACATCAATTTATTGATTTACTTCATTTTTTAAACAGGGAAAGATGAAAAGAAATCGGGCTTGGCTCAGCATGATGCCTTACAGCAGATTCCTGTACTGCAGAATGTAAAAAACACAGATATCCACATCAATAGACACAACACACCAATTTACAGAATGGATTTAAGAAGTCTGATGCATGTAAAATGCTGCCCATGTTGAGATTGACTTTGTATGTTGTGTGTCTTTCATTCTTTAACAGTTTTTAAAGGCCGTCGGTAACAGACCCAGATAATTTCCTAGATTGGGTTTGGCATCAGAGCAGAAAGAACTGCATAACCTGCACCATAGAACACCTGAAAATACAATTGGAAACCAAAACATAATTTTGAAAAGTTAAGGTATCTAAAGAATAAAAAAAAAAAACTTTAGACAAGACAATAAGTCAAGTGAGGCAGTTTAGCCTCCAAGATATCATTAGTAGCAAAAAGTAGACAGTACAAAATGGTTAAAAGTATTATGGCATGAAGATATGTATTCAAAACAAAAGATTTCAAATTTGATCTCATTTTGAAGTAATTTTTTTGTTGTTGTTGCAGCTTAGTGGGTAAGGCTTGTACAATACTCCACAGCAGCAAAATGTTTGTAGAATTGCTAATTTAATCATCACATTTCAAAAACTGTTTGGTTTTGGGAAGACTCTGCTTTACCTGGTGAGGTGACAGGTTGCCTGGTGAAGGACACATTGAAGGTTGGTTCATCTCTCAGAGGAGAAGGATACATCCTTCTGCGGATGAAGAAGCCAGCACCACAGCAGAATAACACCCCCATCATGAGCAGGACCCTGAGAGGAAAACACAGTATGTTGTAATACTAAAGTAAAGAAGCTGCTCCTCACACAGCTCACTTCAGTCTCAAGTAGAGTGTAGGTAACTTGGGATCACAATACAAGAGTGCAATCCCAAATTATTTGCCTTACAGTCCAATGCCGTTTTTAAAATACCTCTGCTGAGAGAGAAACCACACAATTTAAACAACAAACATATGACATGAAGCCCCATCCTTTCCCAAGTCGGGATGGATTTATAATCTATAGGTCTGAAGGTTAGTGTCACAATTTAAGAGTAACTCTGCTGTGAAGACAGACAATAGCCAAAAAACAGGGTTTATACAATAGCTACTAAAAAGCAAAAAATATCTAAAGTTAAATTAATACAAAAGAAAGAGAAGCTGCTCATCTTGTTTCAGAGAGTCTGCTAGTTAAGGGCTCGTGGCTGTAGTGGATCTTAAACAAATAACACCAAACATTTTACAGAAACTTTAAAACTCTGCTTCTTATTAATTTATTATATTAGGTGTAAAGCAGAAGATTAGGGGAACTCACCAGAAATACCATAATCTCTGAATGGACAAGGCTCTGACACAGCAGCGAGTTCCACAGCAGTCCTCATAGGAGCGACATCTGCAACAACACAGACAGACAGAAGAAGCATAACATGCTAAAGGGCAATACAAATTCTGGTCTTTTATATTCATTTTAATAAGATTCAGTTCCAAAAATAATTGGAATCGCTCCTTGTGAGATTTAATTTCTCACAAAGAGAAATTAAATCAATCAGGCAAGTTTATTTACACAGCACATTTCAGCAACACGGCAGTTCAAAGTGCTTTACATCATGAAAACACAAAAATACTAAATCACCGTGGAGTCAATAATTGAGAAAACCAAAAACAAATATCACATTTCGATGAGTGTCACTGTCAAAACCATCAATTGAATAAATGTTCTATTTATTATGTTTCAAAAGCAACTGTAAACTTGTGGATTTTTAGTCTAGATTTAAATGAACGCAGTGTTCCAGCTGTTGTGCAATTTTCTGGAAGTTTGTTCCACATTTGTGGTGAATAGAAGCTGAAAGCTGTTTCTTCATGTTTGGTTCTGGTTCTGCAGGCTGGGTCAGAGAGGAGTTCAGGTGGAACAGTCAGAGGAGGGATTGTGAGCCTATCAACTGTTGAAGATAAAGCTTGAGCATTGTTGATATTTTTGTTTATAATTTCCAAAAACATGTGGCATGTCTGAAAGAAGTGCTGACTCAACTGTTAGAGTGGAACATGAAACTGCTGTAAGAAGTCAGGTGCTGGAACTTTATTCATTTTGAGTCTGGTGACTGCAGCAAGAAAGCTGCAATGTTCAGGGGAATGTTGGAAGATTAGGGGCTACTTGCTGCTCTTTAACCATTAATGTGTGTCAGTAAATAATTTATGGGACCATTCAGCAGACACAAAACTCATTCCCTCAAGATAAGGTAAGATACATAGCACATTTTCAGCAACTAGGCAATTCAAAGTGCTTTACATGAATTAAAAGGAAATGCAAACAAAATAACAAACCAAAGGAAAGAGAAAAAAAGATAAAGAGATATGCATAAGATAAATGTTGATTCTCTATGTTTGATTCTATAAAGTATGATGCTGGAAAACAGCATCATGCTTCATAGGGTCAGAATGGGTAGAGGAGGGAGCAGAGGAAAAAAGGCTCTGCCTACACCGAGAGACAGGCTATGATATTTCCTCACAGGCATCAGACACGCAAGTGTATTTTAATGCTGGCATTAATCACACTTTGTGCGTTGCAAACAAAATCTTAAATTTCCTTTAAAACCGCATGAGCAGCAACCTGAAAACCAAATATTCAGAACTCTGGCCAAATGAGATGGATTGATTTATCAAAATCAATAACAGAACTTGTTTGCATATGACAGAAAGCAGGATGCACGATGAATAAAAGATAGTATATACCTCAGACTTCTAAGTGTCTGGAATCTCAAACTAGTTTTAGGATGAGAAACAATAGCTTCAGAAGTGAGGAAATATTTGCACCTATGATCATTACACTCTCTACTGGAGACATTTCTTTTACACAATACATGTGGGAAATATGACCAACTGAAGAGTCATCCTGTTTGAGTGTGTGATTGCTTTCTTTGATTAATTTTCTGACTTAGACTTAGACTTAGACTCGTACTTTATTGATCCCTTGGGAAGACTCCCTCAGGAAATTGAAGTTACCAGCAGCTTACAGGCAGAAAAGTGGCACACAGTGAGCAAAATACAAAAGAATACAAAAAAATACAGATTAAACACAAAGGTACACACTAAATGTGAGTAACCAAAACCCTAAATTAAGCAAAAATAAGCAAGGAATAAGAATATAAGTAAAATATAAAAAAAATATATAAATACAACACAAGAGAAAATATAGGAATTTGGCAGATAGATTGACCAGTGATATGGTATTGCACTATGTGGTTTGGCATAATAAGTATGGAGTTCACTACTCCTTCTTCCCTCTTCCTGTGTCACCCCCCCCCCCCCCCTCCCGGGCCCCCAATGAGGACTTGTACAGTCTGAAGGCGTGAGGGTCTGTCACTGAACAGGCTCCTCTGGCTGCTGATGACGGCATGTAGAGGGTGGCTGCTATCGTCCATGATGTCCAGCAGTTTGTTCAGTGTCCTTGCCTCTGCCACCGTCACCAGAGTCCAGCTTCATGCCGACCACAGAGCCGGCACGCATGATCAGTTTGTCCAGTCTGGACGTGTCCTTCTTGGATGTGCTGCCTCCCCAGCACACCACGGTGTAGAAGAGGACACTGGCGATCACTGACTGGTAGAACATCCACAGCAGTTTGCTGCAGATGTTAAAGGACCGCAGTCTCCTCAGGAAGTACATCCTGCTCTGCACCTTCCCGTACAGGTGGCTGGTGTGTTTTGAGGTACTTGTAGGAGTCCACGGCCTCAACCTCAGTTCCCTCTAGTACGACTGGTCTCGGCTTTGGTCTGGACCTCCCAAAGTCTATAACCAGGTGGTTTGTGTGGCACCAGAGAGCAAAGTCCCTCACCAGACAGTGATATTCCTCCTCTCCGTCGTCCCTGATACATCCGACTATGGCTGTGTCATCAGCATACTTCTGTATGTGACACAGTTTCGAGTTGTAGTGAAAGTCAGAGGAGTACAGGGTGAAGAGAAGAGGGGCCAGCACTGTGCCCTGAGGGCTCCTGTGCTGCTGACCACAGTGTCAGACACGGTGTCCTTTAGCCTGACATACTGCGGCCTGTTGGTGAGGTAACTATGGATCCAGGTGACCAGGTGCTGGTCCACTCCCATGCTATTTAGTTTGTCCTGGAGCAGAAGGGGCTGGATTGTATTGAAGGCACTGGAGAAGTCCAGGAATAGGATCCTCACTGTGCCACTGCCCTTATCCAGGTGGCAGTGGGCCCGGTGCAGCAGGTAGAGGATGGCATCCTCCACACCAACATCTGACTGGTAGGTGAATTGCAGGAGATCCTGGGCATGTTCCACCTGAGGTCTGAGGAGGCCTCCTGATGAGCATCTTTATCAGGAGGCCTGATGAAGACCCTCCAACGTCTTCATCAGGTGTGAAGTGAGTGCTACGGGCCGAAAGTCATTCAGCTCGCTGGGCCTGTTCTTCTTGGGCACTGGGACGATCCTTAGCTGCAGGCTGAGGTTGAAGATCCGCTGTAGTGGCTCTCCCAGTTCAGCAGCGCAGGTCTTCAGCAGCCTTGGACACACCTGGTCCGGCCCTGCTGCTTTCCTGGGCTTGAGCTTCCTCAGCTGTTCTCTGACCTGGTGGGGTGGGGGTTGTGGAGTGTGTGGTGTGGTGGAGAGAGGGTGGTGGGGGGGGGGGGGGGGGGGGGGGGGGGGGGGGGGGGGGGGGGGGGGGGGGGGGGGGGGGGGGGGGGGGGGGGGGGGGGGGGGGGGGGGGGGGGGGGGGGGGGGGGGGGGGGGGGGGAACGGACTGGTTGAACCTGTTGAAGAAGTTGTTCAGTTCGTTTGCCCTCTCCATTGTTCCCCCAACGACTCTGGTCTTTGTGTTGAGGCCAGTGATGGTCCTCACACCTTCCCAGACCTCTAATTATACCTTATTTAAATGCAAAGTGTGTGGTGTTTTCTAATCACTCTGGTGATAGAGCCTTCTTTTAAAGCTTCAAGTGTTGCTGAAGTTTTTATTCTCTCTGCTAGCTTACCAAACTTAGTTTTGGGATTGCAGCCAACCGTGAGAGTCGCTGTTGCTCATAAACAATTAATTAAGTTTTTTATGGTGTTTTGATTGCTTAAAATAGAGTGCTTAAAACAGCAGAACTCCTCTCTTTATGTATGTTTAAGATGTTTAATACTCAAACAAGCAAGAATGATAAAAACTACTCATATTGAAAATACTAAATTAGATTTATCACTGCAGTGACAAAGCAATAGTCAGATAATCAATTGTCCAAGAGGTTATTTATTTCTGATTCAGCAAAATGTAATCAAACATTATCTCAAATGAATGTTTTGTTTCACCTTTGCTTTGCATTGTGAACTGGTTGAAACACAAACCAAATGTGTGAATACATCCGAAACTAATCAATGAAAATATGGAATCCATTTGGCCTCACCGATATGTCAAGAAAATCCGAGATCGTCCCACTTCCCCATGCTGGAGATTTCAGTTAACAGTAACAACAAATAAAGTTATCTTTAAAATAAGTCACACCAATCACATCTAGATCCAACAGTAGACCCAGAATGCTATAAAATAAACCTGGTTGTGTGTGTTGTTTTTGTCTCCTGCAAACTTAGCTTTCATTATACTTATTTTTCCTATCTAGTCATAAGAAATCATAGTCATAGAGACATGAGACAGGAAGAGCAGGTTTCTTGAAAAAAGAGGAAGTAAGTTTCCAGCTTGAAGCTGTATAAAAATAGCTGAGACTATTCCTTATTTAAAAGCATAAAAGTTTTAAAGGATGAAATCTAAACATTTTGATTAATTAGATAAGATTTAAAGTAAAGTACTTATAATAATATTGGTTTACTTACTTACTGACACTTGTGGAAAAACGTACAAGTAAAACAAGTAACTGTAACTTTGGTATCAAATAATAATAAAAGAGTAAAAAGTTGTGATTATCATAAAATGATAAATGAATGCCAAATCAAAGAAACTAAAAGTGTCATGTTTGAAGCAACACGCCTGACCCACATGCAGGCGCACAAACAAGGAGAAGCGATTTGGAAAGATGAAATAAGTTTATTGGAACAAAAATAAATAGAAATTCTGTGATGTGTCTCGGAGGGGGGTTTTGGGTGAGGGTCGTCTCCGTGTGGTATGGATGTGGTCTCCGCTGGGAGGAGGGGGGGAGTGACTGACAGGTGGCGGGGTCCGGTCCAGATCCGAGGGTTGGCGTCAGATGGGTTTGCCGTTGGGCAGGTAGGTAAAGAGCGGGTCTCGGCCAGTCTCGGCAGTTCTTGGATCAGGCTTCACGGTCTCAGGAAGAACTTCTCCGCGGCTCCGCGGGAGATAATCCTGTGAGAGAGAAATTTCAGAATAGTCTCTAGTTGCTTGCAAACACGCACAACAACACCGACACCAGGTTCAGAGGGGGCTCTGAGTACCATTGAAGGATAACACTCAAGCGCTGGAGAACCGCCTGCCCGCTCTTCTTATGCTGGCTGCGATGATGCGATTACGCACAGGTGCGCGGGATCCACCCTCCAACGACTGCCACCCTCTGGCTCCATCTGGTGGGAAAGAAAAGGTTCCCCACCCAGCCTAACTCCAACACCCGACAAAAAGGGTTATGAATGTGATTTTGACATTGAACTTGAAATGGTGTAAAACGTGTAACTGCTATTAAAGATCACTGACGATGTGTTGGAGGTGGATAGTAGGTGAAAGGTTAGGGGTAAAATGGGGACTCACGGGAAAGTGAGTCCCCCCATAACCAACACTTTATTAGGACATAGATTGTTGAACAACTTAAACGTGTCAGAGACATGGGAGGAACGTTGAGCAACCCTGAGACATTAGCCAAGACATCAGGACAAGACCTCTAAGACCTTTTGTCCTGACGGATGAACAGATGACATGAGTTCATCTGTTCAAACAAGTTACCCAATAAAGCAAGCACAGCAACAGTGTTAGCCAATAAAAATGCACCGAAAGCGGGTATAAACCCTACAAAAGGGGAGAGCAAAAGAGGAATCTTAGTTTGGATCCTCCAGGCAGCTTCGAGTCAAGACCGAGATGGACAAAGAACTCTGCAGCTGAAGAAGAGCCAGAGACACAGAGCCAAAGATTGTCTTGTGCACGGGGACCAACCCATCAGCCCCGCAACATGTGGCTTCAAATCGGACTTCTCTCATCGGCTGGGTTAAGACTCCAAAGACAAAGATAAAGACCCAAGTCCTGTGTGACCTCACCATGGATGCAGAGATGACAGCTCATCAGACCAACAGAGATCCCTGCCTTCGTCAATCAACACCTTCTTCATCATCGAGCCAGTTCTGGGGTTTGAAACACCAAACTTTGTCCGTCTCTCTCAAAAGGTTCCCTTTTTAGTTCTTAGTATCAGCGTTAGGGAAAGATAGGCTAGATTGATTTTACTCATTTGATTATTTCTGAATTAAGCTGTACTGACCCTTGCAAAATTGCTTTACTAATAAAATATTTAGCATAAAGAAAATCTAAAAGATGTTGTGGACATTCAATTAATGAGTCACCTCAAAGTTCTTTGATGGTAGTAAAATAGCTATGATGTTTGATTCTGGGGAAGAGAAGGAGGTAATGTTTTATAGGTTGCTTTAGCCCAAATCTAAAACTACATCCTTGGGACTCGCCCAATTCACTAAAACCAACCTGATTCAGTAACAAGTGCAAGTTGTAAAAAAGAGAAGGAGCGGCCGTTAACAGATGTGCTCTGTGAAACTAGTTGGCGATAGGCTGCTCAGTCTGGCTAATTCACTGGCTTATAAGGGTGGGACATCTGGATGTAGGTTGTAGAAATCAGGCGAATCCTGTCTCGAAACCAGCTTGAACAGAGTTTACTTCAGTTCTGGATAGGGTAAATCCCAGCAGATTTAGGAAACTCAATTTACCCGTTAGATGGAGAGCTGGTAGCACATCTCCCCTCTCAGAAGAGGAAGTAGTGACTGAGAGAGGAGAGAGGGAAGGAAGGGGGGAGGGGTGGGGTGGGAGGATGCGGCAACAACAGATACAAACATTGATTTTTAAGCATACCTATTTATACCGGACTGTGATGACTACATATGAGTCATTTCTTTACATGGCAGAGTGAGAGCCCACAGTGTTTCTGGTTCATCTGATCTAAATTAGTGTAAATTAGTTTAATTTACAAATACTTCCTAAAAAAATCTGATTTCTCAACATTTACAGTTTATATTAAACTGATATTTTAATCAGACCCAATCAATTGATTTCTTTTAGGAGCTTTTGTCATGTTCCGTGTTTTCTATGTAATTATTTAGAGTTTTCTGTGTCCTGAGTCTCCTCTTTGTCCTGTCTTCCCCTTGATTACTCACCAGTGTGTCTAGTCTTTGTGAACACCCTTTGTGTATTTAATCCCTCCTGTGTCCTTTGTTCCTCGTCGGGTCCTAGTCTTCTTTTGTCTCTTTCTGTCGCCTGTTTAGTTGTTTGCTGTCCTTTGTATGTCCAGTACTACCAGTGTTGAGCCCTGGCTTCCGTTCAGCTGTGCTGCCTGGCTTCTGGACTGTTTTTGGACATTTTTGGAAACTTTCTCATCATTAAATCATCATTTCACTCCTACCTGGGTCTCATAGCATCTGCCTCACCACCTCCACACCAAATCGTGACAGCTTTATTACTAAGAGAAACAGATGGATGTTTAAAAGCCTCATTTTTTTTGTTAGTTATGACGATTTTCCACTTACAGATTATGAAAACATGATGTTCAAAATAAGAATATGACGACAATTCTAAAAACATAATGTGTTTTTAGGAGTGTGGGCTTAATGAAAGGAATGTTTAATCCCTGCTTAAACCTTATTATATTCAAAACTTACTTTTAATATGGCAAGTATATTCAATACTATTATTGGTTTTATTTACTGTTTACAGTTAGTAGTTTAGTTTACATCATTCTTGCATGTTTTTCTTTATGGTTTAGTTTAGTTACTAGCTTTGTGAGTTTGTTGATTAAAGTATTTCGCTGTCAGGTTGAATTATTTTGTTATTAAACTTTCTTATGTTGGTGAGAAGTTGATAAGCAAACTGCCGGGGTCCTGATATGTGCTTGTTTGCTGGCTCTGGACCTCTATGGTGTCAAGGCAACGGGACTACAGTTGTTGATGACTGACTGGCAAAGTCTTTCCTGATGCACCCAGATGTGATTTCATGACTCAAAGTCAGCAGTGTGAAGGCTTCTCTTAATGCCTTGGTTTCTGTTTCCTCCATCTAAAAAAACTTTATTGGTGTCTATGTACAATTCTAATGAAAGGAATGTTCATTAGAATTGATTTACATTATATGTAAACATGTTATTTATATGAAATGCACACATTTGTGGAGAACCTTTTTTGGTCACTCTTTATTTGACGGGTTGTGACTAAGGCTGTCATGACATGTCATAACCATGTCATAACACCTGTCATTAATATTTATGACTGTTGTCATAAAGTGCCATTTGGTAAATTGTGACACTTTTTATACAAAGTTGGCATTATTCAAAATGTCTTTGTTATGACAACTTGATATTAACCAAGAAATTATGATCTGACATAAAATTTGTTATAAAAGTATTACTGATCAAATTTTAGCTTTAATAACAAAGCTATAACTTTTTTCAGTTTAATCAGTAATACTTTTGTAACAAATTTATGTCAGATTATGATTTCTTGGTAACGAAGAGATTTTTGTTTATGTTACTGTTAAGTTGTAATAACAGACATTTTGAATCATGTCAACCTTGCATTAAAGTGTCATGATTTACCAAATGACACTTTATGACAACAGTCATAAATATTCATTAAGACTTACTCATGTTCATGACACCTGTGTCTTATGCCATGTTTATGACGGTTTTATGACAGTCTTATTCACAACCCGTCAAATAAAATGTTACCATGTTTTCTGAGGGTTGTCAGAAGTCCACCATAATAAAGAGCAAGAAATGACTGAACAACATCACTGTGTGTGCAATTAATCAATAAAAACAATTTCCTGTACTTTTTCATTTAAAGAATTAAATGAAATAACTTTCCAAGTTATTATAATTCATTTTTTGTTACAATGCCTGTTTTAATATGCAGATAATTGTGAAGGTTAAACATTGAATTAATTGAATTGGACTTACACAAAGTATGCAGGATATCGTTCCTCAAAATACCAGCAAAACTTCTTGGCTTCAACACACTGCAAAAGAAAATAAGGTTATAATTAGGGTAACATTGACTAATGTGAATATAAAAATTGACTACATAAACAAAAGCTTCCAGGTCAAACCTACATGAGAAAAGCAGCAGAATTGCTGCCTGACTAATGGCGAATAAAGAAAACTCCAAAAAATGTTTAAATTCTGAGCATTATCAGGATTTGTCCTGATAAGAGATAAGCAGTAAGATAAGAGATATTATACGAGGGATGTGAAATTTTATAACAAATAGATTAGTTTTCACAGCTCTCCATTATGATGTCACCAGGTGGCTGAAACTATCCAATCACTGAACAGATGCTTAGAACATATAAATGTGTGAATGTGCCAAAACTTTCTCCAGCTGACCAGAAAAAAAACTTAACTTATCTCTGGACATTAACAGGAACAATCTACAGGGTGGGCTATACGTTTCCATCCATAGGAGAATGTAAAATTTCTTTTATAATACCAAAGAAGATACATTTGACAAAAGAGCAAAGAATTAAAATTATACTGATGGCTGGATCAGGAAGCAGTCGCATGGATGAAAGAAACTTTAACAGAAAACATGAACCGAGCATCACACACGACACTGTTGAAAAACTTATTTGCAAGTTTCAGAAAACTGGAAATGTTGCAGATCAGCCACAAAGTGGTTGAAAGACGTGCAGCGATTACACAGAGTCCCAAAAAAATAAAAATGATTGTCCAATATAAAATGTTTGCCTTTTATATGTATGTTTTGTCAACATTCACCTGTTTCGATGTGAAAACCTACATACAACAAGTGAATACTTATCCATTTTAGTTTTAATTAAAAATGTTTTCACTTCACAGACTTTATGCAGATGCACGATGTGGAATGTAGGTTAAAACCATTTAAATACAGATTGTAATGTAAGAAAGAGGTAAAAACAGAGGGGTGAATACTTTCCAAAGTCACTGTGAGTATGTGTGTCATGCCTGGTTGGGTGAATCCCAGATACATCAATATCCTGACAGCATATCATAAACAGTATCTGGTGATAAAACTGGAGATAAGCACTATTTGCTTTCTGTGCCAAGTAATAAAATATTAGCATTGTGTTGCCCTCAGGCAACAAACCACTATTTTGGCCCACACACAGCCCCTTTAAATTTTTTTAAGTAAAACATCACATTAAAAGTCTGATGATATGTCTGTGACCAATGAAATTTGAGCTGGACTTGGCTTTGACCTTTGTCTTGGAGTGAAACGATCCTTTTTTGGACCGCAGCTGACTTGGATACACCGCTAGCAGAAGGTAAGATAAATTTCACTTTTTTACATGTTTAAATTTAAATAATTTTGTATAAATAATATGTGTGATGTGCATGAATAAGTGAAAAAGCATATTTGATTGAGTAAAGACACCATTTGTCTTCATTTATATACTAAAATGGCAGTTTTTCATTCGTTGCCTCAGGGCAACATTGTGCAGTTAGACCACTTTTGTGTGAACTATAACATGCTCATGGATGGAGATGTGTAGGGATGTGTAGTTATCAACATAATAATTTTTTTCCTGTACTATCTACTATTACTCACAGGAAATGGATGTACAAAGATTTTATAGGCGTGAGGAACATGATCAAGCGGTTAGGCTCATTCCTTCTGACAGTGAGCTTGAGGAGAGTGACAGTGAGGAAGAGTTGACTCCAAAATCAGGTTTGAGGGAGAGTTAGGAGATCAGGGTTCAGTCAGTAGAGTAACATACGGTATGGAATGAGCATGTATGTGCGTTTGTACATCAGTGATTGAAGAGAGGTATATATGACCTATTCTAATTTTATGCTTACTGGTTTCTTTTGAAAACAGATGACCTGCGTGATGACAATGAGTCTGTGGATGAAGAGGAAAATGAAGATGATGAAGTATCACAGGAAGCTGTTCCACGCTTACCCCGTTGGAGAACACCCCACAGTGCCAATATTACCCAGAATAGCAGGTCAGTCTTCCAAAATCATCCATCCATCCATCCATTTTCTGAGCACCCTTCTCCTAACGGGGTCGGGAGTTGCTGGTGCCCATTTCCAGCTGCGTTCCAGGCGAGAGGCAGGGTACACCCTGGACAGGTCGCCAGTCTGTCGCAGGGCAACACAGAGACAAACAGGACAAAAACAACCATGCACACACACACTCACACCTACGGAGAATTTGGAAAGACCAATTAACCTGACAGTCATGTTTTTGGACTGTGGGAGGAAGCCGGAGAACCCGGGAAAGAACCCATGCACGCACAGGGAGAACATGCAAACTCCGTGCAGAAAAACCCCGGACCGGGAATCGAACCCAGGACCTTCTTGCTGCAAGGCAACAGTGCTACCAACTGTGCCACTATGCAGCCCCTTCCAAAATCAGATCATGTCATTTCCCCCTACAAATACTTCAAGATGTTTTCTTCTGAAGAGATTCTGGAAGTAGTTGTAGAGCAGTCAAATTTATATGCAATTCAGTGTGACACCTGAACCTCGCTAAAAAAGAACTGGAACAATTTATGGGTATAGCAGTATACATGTCATTGTTTGGATTGCACAGTGGCGCAGTTGGTAGCACTGTTGCCTTGCAGCAAGAAGGTCCTGGGTTCGATTCCCGGCCCCGGGTTTTTCTGCACGAAGTTTGCATGTTCTCCCTGTGCATGCGTGGGTTCTCTCCCGGGTTCTCTGGCTTCCTCCCACATGAGCTTCAGAGCATGAAGCTCATTATACAAATTTATAATCACACGGTGAATTGGGAAGACCAATAAACATGACTGTCAGGTTAATTGGTCTTCCCAAATTCTCCCTAGGTGTGAGTGTGTGTGCGTGGTTGTTTGTCCTGTTTGTCTCTGTGTTGCCCTGCGACAGACTGGCAACCTGTCCAGGGTGTACCCTGCCTCTCGCCTGGAACGCAGCTGGAGATAGACACCAGCACCTCCCGACCCCGTTAGGGAGAAGGGTGCTCAGAAAATGGATGGATGGATGGATGTGTGGATTACCAGGCACCCGCATGCAGCTAATCTCTAATGCACTAATTGATAAACCATTTGTGGCTGTTTGTTGAAAGGAAACTTATTCTAATGTATTTATTGCTTGTTTGTTCATCATTCCACTTATTAAATAAATAAGTGGAAGTATAAAGTATAAAGAAAACCTTGGTATTTTAGTACCCTCATAGCATATTGTTGCCCTGAGAAAACAAACCAAAATCTGGTGGGGGGGGGGGGGGGGGGCAGGGTGGAGCACATTTTCTGATTGATATATTATAAAGACCCCCTCAAGCTCCCAAAACTAGAGTGAAATATTTTTTTCCTCATAAAATAAAAATTTATGCCATAGAGGGTTAAATGATATACTTCTGACCCATTTTTGTTTTGACTTGCCTTTTGACTACCTCAGCTGGCATGATGTTACATGTACACTGTTTGCACGATTTGAGCTGGCAGCAGAGGAAATTGTTCCTGCACCTCCCATAGCACAGAAACTGCCACTATACAACCAGCATGCATTTTCCTGTTATTTTATGAAAACAGATCAGTTGGCTGTTGGCTGAGACACATCGGGGGTGTCAAGAGCTCAAACATGTACAATGTACGCAGTGAACTGCAGCAGTGTGCAATGATCTGGATGATTTTTGCCTTTGAAGTTGCATAGACTCATAAGAAGAGAGAATGTCAAACATTCAATTCTTGATTTCTGTAACCTATGTTACATTTATGTGATCCTGCAAATAGAGCATCTAGTTATTACCAGATTATAATTGTGTCATGCATCCCTTAGAACTTGATATGGAAAAGGTAAGTGTTAACAATGACTGCTTTAAATCACTAACTACACACATTTGCTTGATTTGAACATTCTGTTTCATTCCAACACTCTCTGATCTCCCATCCCTCCACTTCCTGTCTTATTGATGTCTCCAACCACTCATGATGCCTTGGACATCAAAAAGCAGGATACACCCAGCGACCATCATTTCCTTTGGACTGAAGTAAACAGGAAGTGGGAAATGGACGAAGCGGGGAAGACAACCAATACTCTGCCAGTGAGAATGGATTGATCGGTGATCTGTTGTTGAGCTTTCACACTGTGGAAACCCCCTTTGGGCATCCCCGGGCTGCAGACAGGTGTTACCATAACGATTAACCAATAATCATTTTGAAAATCAAATTAAATTATAGAATAGTAAAGTAACCATCTATAAATTTTTTATTTTTATGTTTGTCTCATTCTACAGTGGCCCTGAAGACCACTGTAAAAAGCAAAAGAAAAGCCCAGTGTTCTATGCTTTCACAAATTAAACATTAGTATCAGTAACATCAGCAATAATAATAATAATATTGTTAGAAAGTTTCCAATTTCAGAGCATGAAGCTCATTATACAAATTTATAATCACACGGTGAAATCTTTCAAGCTCTTATTTCTTGTTATTGTGATGATTATGTCTTCCAGATAATGAAAACCTCAAATTCAGTGTCTCAGAAAATTTGAATACTGTGATAAGCTTAAAGTAGGAGAAATCATCTGGACACACAGTAGGTCAATGCTACAGAAGCTGCTTGTTTTGTTTTCTCTCTTCTTTCACAAACACACAACCTCTCTTTTTCTCCACAACACACATAGAAAGACTCTTACACTCCAAACTTATTTTAGATCTTATACTTAGTGATATAAACTCAGAATGACATGGAAGAGGAAATAATATTAAAAAGTTTTGAAGAAGACTTCAAGCAGACATCATCTTACTTCAAGAGTCGCCACATATACATACATGAAATATTATGCAATCTGGTCATATACAACTAAAAACTGAAATTGAAATATTCACTAGAAAGAAAGATGACATAATGTGACAGCACCACAAGTTGTCAGTGAGATACTGAGCTGGTCTGTTTGGTGAGATGTATCATTTTTATTCATTTTTGATAAACTGAGTTTTAAATTGGAAGGCTGGTTCTAATAGCTTGAAGTTTTAGTAAGAGGCATAACACTGGTGACGAGTACAATCACATAACTTTTGTGCTTTAAAAAGTGAATAACTTGTTTGTCACATTATTTGTGAGACTTTTCTTCATGCCAAAAAGTTGTTACCTAAAAATTCAGTTCATTTGCCTTAAACCTGAAATAACATTTTGTGAATATTTTAGTGTAGTTAATTTTTTGACAGGTTTCTGTCATGTCCTCCTAACCCCCAGGATAAATCTGAGCAAAAAACTAAAATAAAAAACAGCCAAACTTTTATTAGCAGATGCTAAATTCTCTTTTCCTGATTGAGAATCTGGGAAAAGATTCCAATTCTAGATCATTAATTTAAAAAAAAAAAAACAACAACAAAATCTACTGATTGTTTGATAAAGATATCAGTTTTTAATCATATAATAATAAAGCAAATAAAAGATCCTGCGCTATACACTCTGAAAGGTGTCTTTGGCTGTGGTTCATCTTATGAACTTGTTTATATTGATCTCACTTAATTCATTTGATTTAGTGACGATAACTTACTTTTGCTACATGTCTTATCCTCCTTCACTACCCACTTTTCTGTTTATCTACTCTCAAATAAAGCCTGCCAGAGCCAAAAAAATTGTCACTTTAAACAAATACATTGAATTGGTTAAACTTAATAAATTCAATTGATAAACTTAATTGAATTACTTGTTAACAATTGAAGCAATTCAGTTAAGTTGGTTCAACTAATTTATTTTTACAGTGTACATCAAAACATGTCCATAAGCTTTATGTGATTTCCATTCAACTTGTATCCAAAGTACATCCCATAATGAAAGCTTTTTTAAGTTATGCTTTAAACCCGGAATTTTCAGATGTTATGGAAATATATAATAAAAGATAAACTAATGTTCTTGCTCTCTTCACTTTAAGACAACAAATAGTTATTTGTCTTCAAAACAAATATTAAACCTATTTTAATATTTCCAGATCAAATATTAGGGTAAACTTGATTAAGAAAATTATTTTGAGCCATATCATAAAACCAGGATGCAGAATGTTTGATATGATCTCATTTCTAAAACTCAAGAGCCATAACCATTCAACCCAGAACTGCATGATTAAGCAATAATGTTGTAATTATTGCTTCAAAAATGATTCTATTGCTAAATTAATCATGAATTATAAACTGGAGATAGCAGTATAACATCATATAATATAACTGTTCCAGCAAGAGGAGTCACAGATTCTCTGTAAGGACACCCTGGCAAAAGACAGGCTGTAAAATGAGCTTTTGTCACCCAGAAGATTAAGTAAAATCTTCTTGCCCAGGTTGCAGCTTCAACAACTTTGTCATCTGGACAAAGCTGGCAGCACTGAGGATCATGTTCTTTGATTTCTCCAGTGAATTTAACATAATTCATCCTGACCTGATCTATGAGAAACTCCAGAAGACAGAGATCGATGCCTCAACAATCACCTGGATCTGTGATACCTCACAAACAGACCAAACAGAACAGTGAGAGTGAAGGACTGAGTATCTGACCAGGTATCAGCACCACAGGAGCACCACAAAGTACTGTACTATCTCCATTCCTTTTATTTTTGTCCTAAATAAAATAGGTTTACTTTTTAAGAAAATATTTTTTTACATGTGTTCAAACTGTTAATATGTCATAACATTATTACAAAAAGAATATTAAGGGCCTCCCCCTCCGTCCAGCGCTACTATTGCGATCTGTAGAAATACACCACTCCTGGTCAGAAACAACCCAGGAGGAGGGTCTTAGCATTGTCAATCACCATTATGCTACTGGTGGAGAAATAACTTATGTCCACACCCATTGGTGGCCAGTGGAGGTCAGCCAGCTCTTTAAGAAAACACACACTGACCCGCAAATCTCCCTGCGACCTTCTGTCAGAATCATATGACTGAGCCTTCAGGTCCAGTATTTCGTTATTCCCCTCCAAGTTTTCACCTCACCTGGAAGTGTAATCATGTTATCTTGTGATTTTGCTGAAGAGATTCTAATTTCTACCTTTAGAAGTGGCCAAACTGTGGCATAATACTGCCATTTTAGCCTGTTTGCTGAAACAGTTTGTGATTTTTATCTGTTGAATTATTATTATTATTATTTTTTTTTGCCTTATTCATATTTCAACAATCAGGTGAGAGCATCTATATCTGAACATGATCAGCATGCAGAGCATGAATGTATATGCCTTGGACTACTGTCCACATTATTATTTGGAAAAGTTGATTGGGTAAAATGCGGGCAGAAGGTCACATTGTCCTCATCCAGTCTTAATGATGTAGACACACTCAGCTTAGACAAATAAAATAGTAATGAGAATTAAAATTCCATGAATTGACACACATGTCACGGTGGACCACACTGTGCTGATTTCACCTCCAACTACTGTGATTTCATTCACCTTAGGCGATGTGATGTGTTCACAAATATAAATATGAACAGCTCAGATCAGAACTCAGCCCTCTCCTAACTCCATCAAATAGAGCTTCTGTTTGATGGCGCAAGTGTGCGTGTGTGTGTGTGTGTGCCTGCGTGCGTGCGCGCGCGTGCGAGCGTGCGTGTGCGTGTGTGTTTGTGCGCGTGCGTGCATGTGCGTGTGTGTGTGTGTGTGTGTGTGTGTGTGTATATGCGTGTGTGCGTGTGTGTGTGTGTGTGTGTGGCGGGATGAACATAAAGAAAGGGTGACGGGTGGTTTCCCCTACTAAACAAAGCAGCAGAGGTCAGACGAGCCTACTGCTGCCTGTCAGCCCAGTTCTGGATGCCGCTGCTCCGGCAGGCTGCTCTCAGCGCTTCAAGCTTTGAGATTTCGCTCTGGTTCTTTGTCTAATCAGCTGCGTGCGGAACTTGATGTCGCTGTCTATCTGTCTGATTTCTGCCCAGAGAGGAGAAACATCGCATTGTGTTAGTTTTAAGTAGAATTTGGCAACTATCCATGAAAATACTCTACAGCCACCATCAGAGCTTCATCACAGGCCAAGCGAAGCCGAAGCTCAGACACAACAACCAGCGCATCCCCGTCTGACAGCCAACTGGAGCCACACACACACACACACACACACACCTCCCCCCCCCCCCCCACACACACACACACACATCAATGGCAGACAGCACTCACCTCTGCTAACAGCCACAATGTCACCGCGGCAACACCGCCGGCAAGTGGGCTCCTCATGTCTCCGCTGCTAAAGGAGGCAGCAGCTGCAGCAGACGCCCTGCTGCTGACAGGGAAAAGAACTGAGAGGAAGCGCTCCTTTGTCACGGAGTCGGTTTCATCCTCCAGGCTTCCGCTGCGGAGGCACCGAATGACGCGCAGTGCGGAGCGGAGAGAAGCAGAGTGTCTGACCGGACCTGTGTTTGTGTGGATGTTTTAATGTTGGAGTTCCACGCCCCTTTCCTTCTTTCTTTCTTTCTTTCTTTCTTTCTTTCTTTCTTTCTTTCTTTCTTTCTTTCTTTCTTTCTTTCTTTCTTTCTTTCTTTCTTTCTTTCTTTCTTTCTTTCTTTCTTTCTTTCTTTCTTTCTTTCTTTCTTTCTTTCTTTTTTTCTTTCTTTCTTTCTAATATTGCGATATTATAAATTTGTGGAATTACTCCAGTTATATAAACTACATCAAATGATGTAACTTTCTGTTATTAATATCATAGGAATATCTGCCTTTATCTGCAAAATTATTTTGATCTAAAATGCATTAACACTAGAGGGTTGTTTTTTTTAAAATCTAATTGCCATGATATGACAAGAAAATCATGAGTGGAACTCCACATGACGTCACATTTCTGTCAACGGAAGGGCAACGATTTGGATGGAGTCAACAGCATGAGAAAAGAAAAGGATGAAGAGGAGGCTGGTAGAGGAGTTTGGAGACAAAACAGGAGAGCCAGAGGAGGTTGAGGTCATATATTGCTACGACATCATCAGGATTTAGTTTGTGAAACACAACAGGATGTAGTTACCTGTTAGTCAATCATCCTGGTGTAAGTTGGAGAGAGTCTGGCTATTGGAGGTTATCCATGCGGGTTTGTATAACATAATGAGCTGTTAACACATAAGTTCTTAGGTCTAAACCACACCTGTCTAAACCTACACCCAATCATAGAAATACTGAGAAGCAGTATATTTTGGTGGTTTGAAAAATACCTGTGTTGTATGAACATAAAACTATCTAAGGCCAAAAACGCTTTATCTCAGTGAAATAAGTCAAAAGTGCCAGCGTGTGGAGGTCCAATGTTTCACTATCCAATCACCGGGTTTGATGTTATGGAGTGGCCTCTCGGCAGGACATGCCAATGCGTCTTTCTCTTTCTGAAAAACTCAAAAAAGCGTTTTCGACAAGTTTTGACAGTAAGACAATCTTGCATTATCACAGACAGAAGTGGAAGGAAAGACCTGTCCCTGAGAGCTTCCGTTCACTTGCTAAACATGTCAATAATAACAATCAAAAAATTTCTTGCCCTTAGCAGGGAACAGTTCAATGAATTCCATCATAAAATAGTTAAAAATCATTGAGTCACAGAGGCAGCAGCTGCATAATAATAACAGTAATATATAAAAACAGTAACAGGATCACATGAGGCAGAGCCATAAATAAAGAGCATCAAGTCAGCATTAGTTAGAGCATTATAGATAATGAAGATGTCACCATAGTTTTCCTTCAAATCCAAAAGCAAATATTAACCGTGTTTGTGTTGTTTTCATGATATAACTGGTAGTTATATCATGAAACACTGGAACTCTTTTAATATTCATTTCAATCTTCACTCCCCACTGGCACTTTTGACTTATTTCACTGAGATGAAGCTACTTTGGCCTCTGACAGTTTTATGTTAAAAAAATACAGGTATTTTTCAAACCACCAAAATATACGGCTTCTCAGTATTTTTATGCTGTTTCAAAGATTATAAAGCTGAAATTGAAGGTTTTGCTGAAAATTACACAGTGGTGCATTTTTGACTTATTTCACTGACATAAAGCATTTTGGCCTTAGATTAGTTTTATGTTCATAAAATACAGGAAATTTTCAAACCACTAAAATTTACTGCTTCTCAGTATTTCTATGCTGTTTCAAAGATTATAAAGCTGAAAGTTGAAGATTTTGCTGATAAATAAACATAAAATTTTTTTCACTGATGAAGATGGAATTGAGGTCCAAACAACTACCCTGGATACAATAAGAAATTAATCAGTGAAGACTAATGTGAAAAACAAATAATGCAAATGGAGAAAATACTGTCAAGTTCCATAAGTTGATGTCACTGCCAGGGTTGACAAAGACTCAAAGAACAGGTGTTACAACACTCCAGGCATATATTTAAGCACTTGATCACTGATGAAGTGCTCCAGGCGATTGCAGAACATTTTTCACTGGTTCAATGCCAACAAATGAATAGGTTCACTATTCGCTACCTGTCATACTAGATCACAATTAGTTTGTTGTCCTGGTTCACTCTGAAGTCCATTCAGCCTCTTCCACTCTTCAATTCATTTCTATTCCTCATAAAGCAGTTTTCCATCCACTCCAAAACTCATACAATGGTTTTCAAGCCAGCCTTTGTTGAATCACGTGAGTTCATGGGAGGTGTTGCTCTTCTTGACATATTATCAGCCTTTCTGGTGTTTGGCTTTAGGTACCAAAGATGGTGCATATAAATGTAGTGGCAAATTGTTACAGTGACCATCATCGATGTTTGAAACCACTACAGAACAGATTAACTTGTATGAGGTTAGAAGTTTGTTTTCCACAGCTGCATAAGGACCAGACCGTCTTGTCAATTGTTTTCCTTCCTTAACATTGTATAAAAACTGACACAGAATTTGAGGTTAGTATAACATTAAATGCACAGTGACACAGTTGATAGAAGTGTTGCCTTGCAGCAAGAAGGTTCTGGGTTCAATTCCTGGTCCAGGATTTTTCTGCATGTGTGGGTTCTCTCCGGGTACTCCGGCTTCCTTCCACAGTGCATAAACATGACTGTCAGGTTAATCGGTCTCTCTAAATTCTCCCTAGGTGTGAGTGTGTGTGTGCATGGTTGTTTGTCCTGTCTGTCTCTGTGTTGCTGTCCAGACTGTCCAGGGCGACATGTCCGGGGTGAACCCCGCCTCTCGCTGGAAATAGGCACTAGCAGCCCTATCGACCCCTCGGGTAAGAAAATGGGTGGATGTGAAAAGAAATAGTCACAGGACTAAGAAAACAAAACTTATGCATTCTCTTCCTATTTTCAAATAGGCCACCCTGACTTACGAAAATGGCGTGGACAGCAGGTGATTCATATGATTGTTGACATGGCTGGTCTATCGGAGAGACAGATGGCAGAGTGGGTGGAGAGGCAACTGGTGAAGTGCTTCTAGCTCTTGTTTTCTTCTGGAAAGTCGGAAAAGATGGAACAATAGGAGGAGAAACAGGAACCAGATCAAGCACAATCACAGTCTCTTCCTGGTTCTGTGATACCACAGAACCAGCATCCAAAGATAATTTCACTTGGATCCACTTTGGATGCTCTTCATATGGTCTCTGTTGGTTCATTGACCAGGTTCTCAGCTTTTTCACCAGCCCACTGCTCTTTGGGTGGAAAAAACCTGCTGTTCCGTGGAGGTGTGGGGCTGCACTGGTACAGACATGAATAGAAAAGACATAATTTAACAGAAAACAGAAATAAATATCTATAGACACATATCTTGCTCACTCTCTGTGGACTTGATATAACGCCCTACGGAAGTGCACACACTCTCACACACGTACATGCATTACCTACAGAGAGGAGAAATTCATAAGCCCTTTGCATCTTCTCAAGAAAATTATTTGTAGTAGCAGTGTGCTCCAAATGAGTAATTATGTCTGCTACCCACTTGCTTGAAGACTTTTCTTCCTTAGCAAAAAATAAAATAGGCTTGTAGCCATAGTTTGGAAAGGGGTGTCCAAATTATGGCCCGTGGGCCAACTACGGCCCACGGGCCAGTTTTTATTGGCCCGCAGCAAATTCTGAAAATATAATTGAATATGGCCCTCACAAAAAGCTTGAGATCAACTCTGTTGCAATTCTCAGTTTCAACACTAGATGGAGCCAGCCACAGAAACAAAATTAAACGAAGGAAAACTTATACGGTGAATCACCAGAAATGGCAACAGGAAGAAACGCAAAATAGCAACTGAGTGTAGGAGATTTCAAACACGGTGGGAAGATGAGTACTGTTTCAAAGAAATCAATGAAAAGTGTCTCTGTTTAATTTGCAATGAATTAATGTGTAATCTGTAATGAAGCGCTTCAGCAGTAATATGATAAATTAGCTGCTGGAATTCTAAATTATGTTGAGATCTCTTTTGGATGTGTACATATAGCTAAACCTTAAAACGAGATCCCGTTCATTAGAGTTGAATTCAAACATTAATATACGTTGATAAGTGGAAATTTCAACTATTTGAAGCTTCAGTAAATTTGGTCATTTCAATTTAAGACAATTTACACAAAATGACGACCGACTGTAAATGTTGACTGTGATGAAACTTTGACTGACTCCAAATTCTGATAGCAACGTTTGTTTGTGTCTATTTCAAGTTGGAGTGAATGTTTGTTTGTATGTTTTGTGTTACTAAACATTGTTTACTAGACTATAATAATTAGTAACTGATTGATTGAGAAATTCAAGTTGTCAAAGGAATTTTTGGCATGAAATGATTTGAAATCTTAGTTTATTTTTGAGACGGTGATTTGAATGCGGATGTGAATAAGTCTCCTGTTTTTTCTATTTCTAGCAAAGAAGAGGTGCTTCCTGACAGTGGCTCACTTGACAAAAATTGTAAATGCCATCTCTGACTTAGAGGAGAAATTTGGCTCATTAAAACAAACTTATGTTCATTTCACATCTAAGGCGTACAAAGCCTTTCCTAGTTTTGATTTGACTATTTCAGAAGTGTCCTTAATGGTTGACTCGAAGCACGTTCTTTTATTGTGAAAAAAACAAACAAAAAAAGGGCATTTAATATTTCTTTTGTTTTTTGTTGATATGACAGAGCAGGTTGGAGTGTCCCTCTTTTGGCTGAGCAGAGACAATATTTATTTTGGGTTCCTGACTTTTACTCACACATACCTTTGGCAAAATCACATAAATTGTCATGGAGTAAATTTCTTCATGCATGTAAAATTGAAACTGATTGAATTATTTCACCTGTTGACCCAAATGTAATGTTTCTGAATGAATATTGGCATTCAAAAAATAAGTTGTATCATTATACAGTGCACTTTAAAAAGCTGTGGAATTGGTTCCAACCACAAACCTAAATTTTGAAGCATGCTTTTTTTATCTAAAAAAAATCTGTCTCCACTATCAATAGCGCTATCTTAGGAGTGTCCAAACTTTTTTAGTGAGAGCCAAATATATAAAAATAAACAAAGGGCCACAGACACTAGAGGTGACATATGTGCCTCAAATAGGTGGAGCTTTACGCAGAAGGCTTTCATGTGCGCATACAGGTGCGGCATCAGCTGTTCTTTTGTGTCTCTGACTGTTTTTTATCATAAAACACAGGAATGAGACTTTGTTCATATTTGAAACCGTCAAAACTGTAGCTTCTCAGCATTTCTATGTTGTTTCAAAGATTAAAAAGCTGAAAGTTGAATATTTTGCTGAAAAATACACATTGGTGCATTTTTGACTTATTTCACTGAGATAAAGCGTTTATTGTCTGACTGTTTTTTTATTCATAAAACACAGAAACTAGACTTTGTTCTCAAAACTGCAGTTTCTCAGTACTTCTATGCTGTTTCAAAGATTATAAAGCTAAAAGTTGAATATTTTGCTGAAAAATACACATTGGTGCCTTTTTCACTCATCTCACTGAGATAAAGCATTTTTGGTCTCTGACAGTCTTTTTTTTTTTTATAAAACACAGTTCATGCTTCAAACCACAGAACCTACTGCTTAGCATTTCTTTGCTGTTTCAAAGACCATTGTCCTACTTGTTGCCTTGTCTCCCGCAACTATTTGGAGCTGCTATGCATGATTAATACTAACCTGGAATGTGCTGTTTTAAGTCCGTCACCAAAACTTCTACAGCACTGCAAAGTACGCTGCCATTGAGCTTTAAAAGATCTGTTTACATATGCATGGGTCACCATTAGCTCAGCTTCTCGACCACAATATTTTTCACGTGCACAGTCCAAAATACATCCATCGAG